AGTAAAGCTGCCTGTAAAGTAAAACAAGCTTTCAGTGCTTTATTTTTTTTTTTAGTTTTTTTCTTCATTCATTTAAATTTTTTTTTTCTTTGTTTATTTTTTTATAACAAAAACACATAAGCCTGCTATAGCTTTCAGTGCTTTAAAGCTTTCTTCATCATATAAGAGCAAAACGGATTCGTCATTAATGCACAGCACAAACTATCGTGTGGACTGTGAGTGCCGTACTGAAGTGGTTAATATAGCTCTGAATAAATATTTCTTACAATGAAATTCTTCAGAATCCCTATATAAGTGAGAATTATCTTTGTGGCTTTTGCACATGACTTAATACAGAATTATTGAGTCACACAGTGTTTACCTCTTAATGTATTATATATACTGCCCCATCATATCCTATTACTCTGTGACACTGATAAGGAACCTGACTTTGGAGATTTTTTTGTTTTTCTTGAAAATCTGTGGTATTCTTTATTTTTGAAATCCACAATTTCACTAGTTTACATCTAATTATTCACACTTTTTATTAATTTTGTCTTTAACATGATAGAGCCTTTTCATGCTAAGATTTGAGTTTTTCTTCAGCTCAAGAAAATTATTCTCTAAATGCTACCTCTTCCATTTAATTCTTTTTTTTTTTTTTTTTTTAGTACTATTTCTTTTATTTTCAGCTTCTCTAACTTGTGGAAAACCTGCTATATGAATGCTATTTTACAAATCTCTATTTTCACTCCAATCATTGCAAATGACTTGCTTAAGCAAGGTATCCCATGGAAGAAAATTCCACTGGAATGCATTATAGAATCGTTATATAATTTACTGAGTACCTTTTTATCTCATTATATAGAATAATGGATTTTAGACACTTAAAATTTTATTGCATTGTTAGTAATTAGTCTTTAAAATACCGTGCGTCCAGTGTTGTATAAACATTTTGCTTTACCAGATGCTTGTTCTTTTGTTACCAGACGCTTTGCACACTTGCTTGTTAAAAAAGATATCTGTAATTCAGAGACCAAAAAAGATTTACTCAAGAAAGTTAAAATGCAATTTTCAGCTACAGCGGAGAGATTTTCTGGTTATATGCAGAATGTGATACAAGTTGTTTTTAAACGTTTAAGATAGGGAAAATTGAAATGATATTATGTGTTTCTTATTTATTTTAAAACAAATTATGTATATGTGTTCATCATAGGTTAAAATACCTGGGAGTTATGTAATTCAGTGTGACTCTTCTATTGTGTTATATTTTAATAGCAAATGTAGTTGTCCGTGCAAGAACTTCGCTTTTGTTAGTGAAAGCCTATTTTAAAATTTAATGTTTTTTTGTGTGTGTGTGTTGATTTTTTTTCAGTAAAATAAGATCATTCATTCATGCTAATGCACTGATAGTAAGAAAATAAAAGATAGAATGTAAAATATGTCATTGTTTTATTCATAAAATATGCACCCCAAATCCTTATTAAAATAAACCTGACCTTGCTGACATATGTCATGACTTCAAGTGCTTTAGTTGTTCACTCACGCTGTCAATAAACTTATGACAAAATGTTTGATCTTATTAAAGATATTAGTTTCTTTTAGTGTCTCATAATTTTAAAGTTGCTTAGACCAGCTGAAAGAGGATATGGAAAAATTAAATAAACTTGGAAGTCTGAACCTTTTCCTGGAGAAGAAATTTCACCAGATATTTCTGCTACCAGAGTATACACTTGCCCTGTTAATTAATTGGATTTGAGTTCAGCATTCCATCATTTGTAAAGCGTAAGTAATCTTTAAGCAAAAAGTTTTCTTTAATTCTTCATTCCACGTGATTAAAACTTCCTGTGACATACCAAATGCTATGGAATTCTTATCTTCTTCCTATGTTGTTGGGGAAAACATCAACCCACAGATTACACCAACCTCTTTTTTCAGAGTCTTAATCTTTCTATAAAATGCTTGTTGGAGTGAGAACTGAGGATAATTTAAATACTTGTTATATGCTTTAGTATTAACTAAGCAGTTCATTTTGATCTGTAGGTTTTTTATTCTTTACATCGCTGTGTGGTATAGCGAGTTATTTGGGAATACTTGTTTTTATTACTTTTTCACTGGGAAAAGCCCTGCTTGTTACTTGCCTTTTTTTTTAACTAAATTACCAAATAATTTTTCCTAAAAATGTTTTTTGACAAAATAGGTCAAAATTTGAATTCTTGGCCGGGCGCTGTGGCTCACGCTGTAATCCTAGCTCTTGGAGGCCGAGGCGGGCGGATTGCTCAAGGTCAGAGGTCAAAACCAGCCTGAGCAAGAGCAAGACCCCGTCTTACTATAAATAGAAAGAAATTAATTGGCCAACTGATATATATAAAAAAATTAGCCGGATAGGTGGCGCACCTGTAGTCCCAGCTACTCGGAGGCTGAGCAGAAGATCACTTGAGCCAGGAGTTTGAGGTTGCTGTGAGCTAGGCTGACCCACGGCACTCATTCTAGCTGGAAACAAAGCGAGACTGTCTCTTCCTTCCTTCCTTCCTTCCTTCCTTCCTTCCTTCCTTCCTTCTTTCCTTCTTTCCTTCCTTCTCATCCATGTGATGTATTTAAGTTCTTTTGGGTTGAATCTAGATATTCTTTACTCTAAAGCTAATTTGCTTCCTTTCCTAAATCATGGCCCCTTTGAGGTATCTGTTAATACTCCATGAATTCATCTTGGTCTCTCCATTCTGACTGGTGGAAATTCAAACAATTTTAGGCCCTGCATGAGCTCTGGGAATTATTTGGCTAACAGCTCCCGAGTAATCATTCTTTTCCTTGAAATTCTTCTTGACTGGTGTTTCACCCTATGCAGGCATAGGTTGATTTTAGCCAAATATTCAAGCAGACTCCTATGTAGATTTCTGGAACTCTTCCTTTGTGTAGCTCCCTCGACTCAAGTACTCTGTCCTAAAAATCTTAGCAGTCTCAGCCTCCTGAACTTCGGTTTCTTTCAGCTCAACTCAGGGAGATTTCTGGACTCTGTAGGTCCTCCCTGGACTTCAGTTCACAAATTGGTCCCTGACAGAAAACCTGGGTTATGGTAGGGCTCACATCATTGGTTTTCCTTCTATTAGGGATCACAGTTTTGCACTGCCTATTGTCCAGGATCTGAAAATAGTTATTTCCTATATTTTTTCCAGTTTCCTCATTGTTTAAAGTGGGAGGGTTATTCCAAACTCTGATACCAACTTATAGTCAGAAGCAGAAGTTCTCTCAGATATTTGAAATTGACATCACCAGTGAACAGCACAAGAATATTATACATGTCTGGATGTGATGCCCTCAGGAAGACACAGTGTCACTATGTACTCTTCCAGCTTGGGCTGAATCTCATTGTGAGGATATAGCAAATCCAATAAGAGGAATATTGCATTAAAAACCAGGGTTAGGAGCTAGGCATGGTGGCTCACGTCTATAATCCCCAGCACTTTAGGAGGCCAGGGCAGGAGGATTGCTTGAGGCCAGGAGTTCAACACTAGCTTGGGCAGCATAGTGAGACCCTGTCTCTACCAAAAAAAAAAAAAAATTAGCTGGGTGTGTTGGTGCATGCCTGTAGTCCCAGCTACTGGAGAGGCTGAGATGAGAGGATCACTTGAACCCAGAAGTTTAAGGCTATAATGAGTTATGATCACACCACTGCACTCTAGCCTGGGTGACAGAGCAAGAATCTCTCTCTTTTGAAAAAACCAAAACCAAACAAAAAAAATAGGACCGTATTCTTCAAAAATGTCAGTGTCATGAAAAGAAAGCTGAAGAATTATTCCAGATTAAAGGAAACTACAGAGATGTGAAAACATTGTGTGATCCTGGACTGAATCTTGTACTTACGGGAGAAATAGCAAAAGCTATAAAATATATTCTTGGGTAAATTGATAAAATTAGATTAAAAAGTATATTATATAAGAATATTGTGTCAGTGTTAAATTTACTGATGCTAATAACTGTTCTCTGGTTATTTATGACAATATTCTTATGAAATACACTCCGAAGTAGTTAGAATTAAAGGCATGTGATATATGCAACTTATTCTCAAATGGTTCAGGAAAAATATGTATAGAGAGGAGTATTAAATATAAAATGATGAAAGTACATGGTGCAAAAGATTAACAGTTGGTGAATCTGGATAAAGAATATTATTATTACAACTTTTCTTTTTTTTTTTTTTTCTTTTGAGACAGAGTTTCACTGTCTTGCCTGGGCTTAAGTGCCCTGGAGTCAGCCTAGCTTACAGCAACCTCAAACTCCTGGGCTCAAGTGATTCTCCTGCCTCAGCCTCCTGGGTAGCTGGGACTACAGGCACACACCACCGTGCCCAGCTAATTTTTCTATTTTTAGTTGTTTGGCTAATTTCTTTTTATTTATAGTAGAGACAGGGCCTCACTCTTGCTCAGCCTGGTCTTGAACTCCTGAGCTCAGGCAATCCTCCCACCTCAGCCTCCCAGAATGCTGGTTTATTACAGCTTTTCTGAATGCTTAAAAATATTTCCAAATAAAAGGTTTAAAAATATATATGTACTTAGGAAAAGTGTTTGGCATTACCCATTAAAGCCAAACACATATAATTCTATGACCCAGTATTTTCCTTTTCTGAGGATATATTTAAGACAAATGAGTAAGTTATACTCAGTGAAAAACTTAAAATTATAAGAATGAATAGCTCTTTGAGTAAGCCTCCAGTCATGTTTAGCATTCATTTGAAATGTGTAATTTTCCATTAGATTAAACTAAGTTGTTATAATGTTATATCATAGTGGTTCTCAAAGTGTAATCCCTGTCAGCATGATCTGATAACTTGTTAGAAATGCACGTTTTTGCACCCTCTCTCTCCAGACCTACTGAATCAGAAACTTAGGTTGAGGTCGAGCAATACGTAGTTTAACAAGCACTCCAGGTGATTCTGATACATGCTAAGTGGAGAACCCCTACTACACTGAATATACTTCAGGAATTATTGTTGCCTTCTAAAGTACTATTTCTTTCATTTTCAGCTTCTCTAACTTGGGAAATACCTGCTATATGAATGCTATTTTACAATCTCTATTTTCACTCCAATCATTTGCAAATGACTTGCTTAAGCAAGGTATCCCATGGAAGAAAATTCCACTGAATGCACTTATAAGGTAATCGTTATATAATTTACTGAGTACCTTTTTATCTCATTAGTTATAGAATAATGGGATTTTAGACACTTAAAATTTTATGTGCCATTGTTAGTAATTAGTCTTTAAAATACCGTGCCGTCCAGTGTTGTATAAACATTTTGCTTTACCAGATGCTTGTCTCTTTTGTTTTACCAGACGCTTTGCACACTTGCTTGTTAAAAAAGATATCTGTAATTCAGAGACCAAAAAAGATTTACTCAAGAAAGTTAAAAATGCAATTTCAGCTACAGCGGAGAGATTTTCTGGTTATATGCAGAATGTGAGTACAAGTTGTTTTTAAACGTTTTAGAGATAGGGAAAATTGAAATGATATTAGTGTGTTTCTTGATTTTTATTTTAAAACAAGATTTATGTATATGTGTTCATCATAGGTTAAAATACCTGGGGAGTTATGGTAAGGTTCAGTGTGACTCTTCTATTGTGTTATATTTTAATATGCAAATGTAGTTGTCCAGTGCAAGAACTTCGGCTTTGTTAGCTACAAAGCCTATTTTAGAAAAGTTAACTGGTTTTTTTGTGTGTGTGTGTGTATTTTTTTCAGTAAAGTGAAGATTCATTCATTCATGCTAATGCAACTGATAGTTAAGAAAATAAAGTTAAGAATGTAAAATATGTCATTTGTTTTTATTCATAAAATATGCACCCCCAAATCCTTATTAAAATAAACCTGACCTTGCTGACATATGTCATTGACTTCCAAGTGCTTTAGTTGTATCACTCACAGTGTAAATAAACTATTATGACAAGAAATGTTTGATCTTATTAAGAATATTATTGTCTTCTTAGGATGCTCATGAATTTTTAAGTCAGTGCTTAGACCAGCTGAAAGAGGATATGGAAAAATTAAATAAAACTTGGAAGTCTGAACCTTTTCCTGGAGAAGAAATTTCACCAGATATTTCTGCTACCAGAGTATACACTTGCCCTGTTATTACTAATTTGGAGTTTGAGGTTCAGCATTCCATCATTTGTAAAGCGTAAGTAATCTTTAAGCAAAAAGTTTTCCCCTTTTAATTCTTCATTCCACGTGATTAAAACTTTCCTGTGACATACCAAATGCTATGAATTCTTATCTTCCTTCCTATGTTGTGGGGAAAACATCAACCCACAGATTACACCAAACCTCTTTTTTCAGAGTCTTAATCTTTCTATAAAAATGCTTGTTGGAGTGAGAACTGAGGATAATTTAAATACTTTGTTATATGCTTTAGTATTAACTAAGCAGTTCATTTTGATCTGTAGGGTTTTTTATTCTTTACATCGCTGTGTGGTATAGCGAGTTATTTGGGAATACTTGTTTTTCTTATCTTTTTCACTGGGAAAAAGCCCTGCTTGTTACTTGCCTTTTTTTTTTTAACTAAATTTACCAAATAATTTTTCCTAAAAATGTTTTTTTGACAAAATAGGTCAAAATTTGAATTCTTGGCCGGGCGCTGTGGCTCACGCCTGTAATCCTAGCTCTTGGGAGGCCGAGGCGGGCGGATTGCTCAAGGTCAGGAGTTCAAAACCAGCCTGAGCAAGAGCAAGACCCCGTCTCTACTATAAATAGAAAGAAATTAATTGGCCAACTGATATATATATAAAAAATTAGCCGGGCATGGTGATGCATGCCTGTAGTCCCAGCTACTCGGGAGGCTGAGGCAGGAGGATCGCTTGAGCCCAGAAGTTTGAGGTTGCTGTGAGCTAGGCTGACGCCACGGCACTCACTCTAGCCTGGGCAACAAAAATGAGACTCTGTCTCAAAAAAAAAAAAAAGAAGAATGTACACTGACATCTTTTCCAGCTATAACATTTTTTACTAGAATTTTAATAATGATAGTTTTGTATCACTAGTTTGTGACATTTCTTGCCTTCTTTCATGATTTCTTCAGTTTCTTTCCTCCAATAGATAAATGATTTTCTAAAGTGCATGTTTTCTTTTCTTTCTTTCTTTCTTTCTTTTTTTTTTTTTTTAAACAGAGTCTTACTCTGTTGCCTGGGCTAGAGTTCCGTGGCATCAGCCTAGCTCACAGCAACCTCAAACTCCTGGGCTCAAGCAGTCCTCCTGCCTCAGCCTCCAGGGTAGCTGGGACTACAGGCACGTGCCACTGAGCCCGGCTAATTTTTCTAATTTTAGTTGTTTGCCTAATTTCTTTCTATTTATAGTAGAAATGGGGTCTTTCTCTTGCTCAGCTTGGTCTTGAACTCCTGAGCTCAAGCAATCCTCCCACCTCAGCCTCCCAGAGTGTTAGGAATACAGGCGTGAGCCACTGCACCCAGCCCTAAAGTACGTGTTTTCTCCCTCCCTCCCTCCTTCTCTGTCTCTCTCTCTCTTTTTCTCTCTTTAATAGACTCTCTGTTGCCTGGGATGACCTTTCTAAGGGCAGGGGGAGGATCAAATGGCCTTACTTTCCAGATCCAAGAATTATTCTGTGCTCAAGGACAGAGTGCTTTCCCCCAAGGAATCTGTTTCCCTTGCTCATCGTGCCATCCTTCAACCAGAGCATTTTCTACCCCATAGTCATCTTATTACTGGCATCCCTGGCCTTGAAACCTCTCACACCTGGGTCTCCATCCCATTCTGTTGTCTGTGTCATTGCTGTCTCTAGAAATGGCATGATCCTTTTTGTTATCATCACTGAGTCAAGTCTGTATGAACCTGTGTACTATTTCCTCTCCATGCTATCCTTCATGTCTTAGCTCTGTGTCTTTCTACATTGGTCATCATACTGGATATTTTCTGGTTCAGTGTGTGAGGAATCAGCTCTGATGCCTGCACTGGCCAGTCAATCTATAAAAACATTTGAATCTTCCAAGTATAATTTATCTCCTTATAAAAGTTGGCAAGCCCAACAGCAGTTAATAATGTGATAAACAGCCATTTATCTGTTCCTTCTAATGTACTTTCTAGACAAAATTTGTGCAAGTCAGAAAAAGAAGTAAATTTTTTCCATTGTTATTATTTCATTGAATTGTGGGGGTACCATTCAGATATTTTTTTTCTTTTTCTTGTGTTTTTTTGAGACAGAGTCTCACTCTATTGCCCAGGCTAGAGTGCCGTGGCATCAGCCTAACTCACAACAATGTCAAACTCCTGGGCTCAAGCGATCCTCCCGAGTAGCTGGGTCTACAGACATGCGCCACCATAACCAGCTAATTTTTTCTATATATTTTTAGCTATTCAAATAATTTCTTTCTATTTTTAGTAGAGACAAGGTCTCACTCTTGCTCAGGCTGGTCTCAAACTCCTCCGCCTCAGCCTCCCAAAGTGCTAGGATTACAGGCGTGAGCCACTGTGCCTGGCCTCAGATTTGTTTTGATAGCAACATTTCAGTAGTCTGTATTAGAAATGGTTATTGACAGCCCACCATCTCCCTTAGTCATGTCTGGCGAATTTGGCAATGGGATCATTCAGGCAGCACAGGAAGGCAAAAGGCTGTCTCAAAAGCAGTAGCTGCTGTACTGTGTCAACAGCATTAGGCATTCTAATTGTGTAGCACCCAGATATTGGGTGTGCAGTTGAGGTGTGTCTACCACTGCAGTAAATGGCATGGCTCATGGAATATAGGCACACTAGGTGGCCAACCTAGGCAATGGCACAGGGGGATAGTGTTCTGCGGGGCCACGGTAGCAGCAATATACCTACGCCCTTGAAGACCTTGCCTTAATTGCTTTGTTGGTAAATTTCTTTAGGACAGTTCTCTAAATATGAAATAGTTTGTCTGAACAAAGATTCCACACACTTTATCCTTTGAATTGTAATTTTGCATGTTTATCCTCCGTCCCATCTGGCTGTAGTCTTCCCTATTGGTAATGCCACTTCCATACTTTAAATGATCAGTCTAAAAATAGTAGTGTATTTCTTTCTCTCAGCCTACTTCTCATATGTCAGCAAATCCTTTCAGCTCTATCTTCAAAATATATCCAGAATCTAACCTTTTTACCACCTCAACTGCCACCACCCTGGTCCAAACCACTGTCATCCCCTGCCTGAATTGTTGCAGCATCTTTTATACTGGCATATAGGAGGCTTCTACCCATGTCTCTCTGCATTCTATTTCAAACACATGAGCTAAAGTGATACTTTTAAAATGGAAGGTAGTTCATGTCAGCCCTCTGTTCATAAAATTAAAAAGCTATGACCTGTGTAACCTCATATAATCTGCCTCTGGGCATTCCTCCTACTTCCAGTTAACTTCTCTGACTTGGTCTTCTGTCACTCCTTCCCCTTGCTTATTCCATTTCAACCAATTAACTTCCTTGCTTTTGTTCAGAAATGCCAGGATCATGGTGCTTTACAGCCTTTGCACTTACTGCTTCCTCTATCTTGAATTCTTTCCCCATATTCTCACATAGCTAGTGCTGTCACTCCTCCAGGTCTTTACATAAGAGCCATTTGCTCAGTGACACATTTTCTTGCCTCCCTATCTGGAATTCCATCTATCTACTTTGATCCTTCACTATTCTATTCCTTACTGTGCTTTTTCCCTCTCAGCATGAATCACTAACATAGTGGTCCCCGACCATTTTAGTGGAGCTCAGATGGTTATGCAGGCAATGGGGAGCAGTTGTATAGATGAAGTTTCGCTCACTCACCTGCCACTCATCTCCTGCTGTGTGCCCCTACCACTACCACTAGAGTCCCCTGGTTCCTAAGTTTCATGGAAGACAGTTTTTCCATGGACTGGATAGGGAGCAGAGCTCTACAGCCCAGTCCCTAACAGGCCACAGACCAGTACTGGTACACAGCCCAGGGGTTGGGGACTGCAGATCTAATATACTATTAATATGTTTTACTTATGTGTTTCATTCATTGTCTTTGTTCTCCAGTACAAGGAAACCGTATGAAGGGAGGTATTTTTGTCTTGGTTTATTCACTGCTATAACGCCAAAGCCTAGAACATTTTCTCATACATAGGAGGCTGTATTAGTTTTTCAGAGCTGCGTAACAAATTGCTTCAAACCTACTAGCTTAAAATAACATAGCTTATAAGTCAAAAATCTGGATGTGGTGTGGCTGAGTTCTCTGCTTAGAGTATCACGAGGCTAACATAAAGGTATTACTGCCTGTGTTCTCATCTGGACCCCAGGATCCTCTTCTATCTCATTGAAGTTGTTGGCAGAATTCAGATTCTTGTGGTTGTGGGATTGAGGTGGCCATTTTCTTGCTAGCTGTCAGGTGGGACCACTCATTTCCAAAAGGCTGCCTGTATTTCCTTGCCAAAGGCCTCCATAGACAGTTCACGTCAGTGCTGTTTTCTTTTTGCAGGCTAAGAGGAGGAATCTTTCTCACATCTGGTCCCAGAATTCTTCTGTTTCTGTCCTCTAGACCTAGATTTAAAGGACTCATGTGATTGGATCTGACTCACCTTGATAATCCCCTTTTTGATTAACTCAAAATTGAGATTAGTAACCTTAAATTATATCTGTAAAATTCCTTTTTCCAGGTAAAGTATTAATATCATCATCATAGTTGTGATAGCTCATCGTTGTTACAGGTTCTACTCAAAGGGAACAGAATTGTACAAAGGCAAGGGTCATCTTAGAATTTTGCCTATCAGAGAGGTACTCAATAATGTTTGTTGAATAAAGAACAAATACATTCTTACGCTCTTCAGTCTTCAACTGTGGCAGTAGGGATCTGGGGTGGAAAATTTAATATTACTAAAAATGCTAATAAGACAAAATGAAAAGCAGTCAGCTAAAATTATTTAAAAGAAGTAAATGTGCTTCCAGGTAAATTGAGCATGTTGTTTTGGTCTCTGACCCCACTTTTTAAAATTCTATAAAAATATATTCAATAACCAAATGGTTTGACTACCTAACAGAAGTGTCTATACATGTGGATCATAGAATTTTCAATGCAGCATTGTTCATATAGCCAAAAACTGGAAACTGTGGAATAATCTTACGTCTAGCAGGTTGCATCTTACAATCGTGTTGAACAAAAGGAGGTTATTTAAAAGAAAACATGCTATGTGATTCCATTTATATAAGGTTCAAAAACAGGCAAAACTCAACTACAGTGTTGGAAGTCAGAATCATAGTTATCTTTTGGGAGAAGGATGAGGTTAGTAATTGGGAAGGGATATGTGAGGGGGCCTTCTAGGGACTTCATAGTGTTCTATTTTTTGATTTGAGTGGTGATTACATGGATGTGTTAACCGGTAATTTCTCAAGCTATACAAATGTGACTGGTTCACTTTTCTATAATTTATGTTATACTTTAATTTTTTTAAGTTTAAGATTTTTTGCAAATGTAAAATTTAAAGATTTAGCATTTTAAGAAAGTACTTGCAGTTGAGTTTTTCTGTATTAATAAGAGTTAAAGGAAGCATGAGAAAAGTCTTAAATGTGTAGTTCTTATGCCTAGTCATAGTATGTCGGTACCATAAGTTCTATGGAAGAACAGTGTTTCTCAAGTATGTTTGTATGTCTGTAAATGGTTACATCTGCCTCCTTTTATTCTTACAGATGTGGAGAGATTATTCCCAAAAGAGAACAGTTTAATGACCTTTCTATTGACCTTCCTCGTAGGAAAAAGCCACTCCCTCCTCGTTCAATTCAAGATTCTCTTGATCTTTTCTTTAGGGTAAGTAATATCTTTGGTATTTTCATATATCTAAATTTTATGTATCATAGATAATGTATTTGAAATTGGTTTCTTTAAGGCACAAATTCAACAAAATTATTTGTGGGGATAACAAATGAGAAGTATTTATAAATAATATTTTTTAAAAGCTTGGTAAATCTAATTGTAACTCATTGAAAAACTGATTGCTCAGATTATTTTACTCAATAGCAGGTATTTTTTAGAGAACCTTAGAAACAGTTTGTTATTTGTAAACAAATATTAATTTAAAGTATTTGAAGTTACGTATGCTACAATTTAGTAATGTGAATTAAAACTGTGGATACCATGTAAGTTGGTATACTAAGATCTGAGGTATGAAAAAATACTCTGCGTTTCCTTAGGTTGTATATACCTGTTAGAAACAGAAAGGAAGAATCATGTTTATCCAAAGCTATAGATAAATATTTGTGTCCATAATATACTGTTACAGATATTGAGAAAGTTTCTGGGACATGATTAGACCTCTGGTATAGCAGTCCTTATAACTGGTGGAAATTTGCCAGGATCCCCTTTCATCTGTATCGTAGTGGTCCTTGTTTATAGCAAATTGGCAGGGTTGTCTTCCTAAGGTTTAAAAAAACAATCTGTTCTTTGAATGATACACATTCAGCTCCATCTGATGATGAATATTCTACTTTTCTTTTTATTTTAGTCTTTTTTTTTTTTTGTATTCCCATTATCATAGACTTTGAAGATTGTCTTATACATTTTTCTTTTCTTTTTTTTTTTTTTTTGAGACAAAGTCTCATCCTGTTGCCCAGGCTAGAGTGAGTGCCATGGCATCAGCCTAGCTCGCAGCAACCTCAAATTCCTGGGCTCAAGCAATCCTGCTGCCTCAGCCTCCTGAGTAGCTGGGACTACAGGCATGTGCCACCATGCCCGGCTAGTTTTTTTTCTATATATATTTTTAGCTGGCCATTAATTTCTTTCTATTTATAGTAGAGACAGGTCTCACTCTTGCTCAGGCTGGTTTTGAACTCCTGACCTCAAGCAATCCGCCCGCCTCGGCCTCCCAGAGTGCTAGGATTACAGGTGTGAACCACCACACCCGGCCTGTCTTATACACCTTGACCCCCATTTTTTAAGGATTTCTTCTTTCAGTTTCTCCAGGTAATAACATCCACCCCAAACTTTGGTCCTTTTAGAGCATTTGTTCTTAGTGGGCTATCACCGAAAGATTGAGTTCCATTATAAGAAAGGGGTAGCGTTACACCTAACAGACCAGGAACTCCACCTAACCTGAAGGTGATCTTATCTCTGCTGTGACCAAATGTTAAAACCTGGATGTACTCCTGGCATCAGTTCACATGTATCCATGGGGAAAAGATTGGGAATCTGCTACTTTAGGGTCCAATTACTATCATAATTTAGGTATTTCCTTGGTAAAAAGGAAAATTAGGAATTCTGAATCAGGGCATAATATTATAAGATAAGTATACTTTCAAGATTATAAGATAAGTATACTTTGAAGATTAGGTCTTAATTTGGTAAGGCTTATGGTTCTAGATACAAAGTTTAAACTGGTTCATTCCACCAAACTAATAAAACTAGAAAAGATTATTTGCATTTAATGCTGATTCAGTTCAACTTCATGCTTCTTTATGTTTTCCTCTTATCTTTTGATAGGCAGAAGAACTTGAGTATTCCTGTGAGAAGTGTGGTGGGAAGTGTGCTCTTGTCAGGCACAAATTTAATAGGCTTCCCAGGTAAATTTAATTGCTCTTCAAACAAGTACATACAAATATTACAGAGTCAGTAAAGTTTGCCAGAATGGATTAGTAAAGGAGATCACCAAAGCTGAAATGTGAAGAGTATAAAGGGTAGAGAGCTAGAATACTCTTCCATAAAGGAAATGGGTTTGGAATGTTGAAGAGAAAAAGAATTTTAAGAGTCCTGAGAAGGTGGCAAGAAGAAGATGCAGCTGAGAGACTTTGGAATAATGATAGGGACTAGCTAGTACATTTTTTTTTTTTTTTTTTTGAGACAGAGTCTCACTTGTTGCCCAGGCTAGAGTGAGTGCCGTGGCGTCAGCCTAGCTCACAGCAACCTCAAACTCCTGGGCTCAAGCAATCCTCCTGCCTCAGCCTCCCAAGTAGCTGGGACTACAGGCATGCGCCACCATGCCCGGCTAATTTTATATATATATTAGTTGGCCAATTAATTTCTTTCTATTTATAGTAGAGACGGGGTCTCGCTCTTGCTCAGGCTGGTTTCAAACTCCTGACCTCGAGCAATCCGCCCGCCTCAGCCTCCCAGAGTGCTAGGATTACAGGCGTGAGCCACCGCGCCCGGCTTTAGCTAGTACATTTTTAAATTCAGTAATATGTAACATTCAGGTTTTTTTGTTTGCTTGTTTTGAGACAGAGTCTCACTCTGTTGCCCGGGCTAGAGTGCTGTGGCATCAGCCTAGCTCACAGCAACTTCAAACTCCTGGGCTCAAGCAATCCTCCTGCCTCAGCCTCCCAAGTAGCTGGGACTACAGGCATGCACCACCATGCCCAGCTAACTTTTTTTCTATGTATTTTTAGTTGGCCAATTAATTTCTTTCTATTTTTAGTAGAGACGGGGTCTCGCTTTTGCTCAGGCTAGTTTTGAACTTCTGGCCTTGAGCGATCCACCCACCTCGGCCTCCCAGAGTGCTAGGATTACAGGAGTGAGCCACTAGCCACTGCGCCCGGCCAACATTCAGTTTTAATATGTTATGCTGTGTTGTGCTGTCTTCTCCCTCTAAACCTTTAGTAAAAATCTGCTATAGACAAATAGACATTTGTATGAAAATAAAATAAGAGTAAATTTTTGCAGTTTGTGCATTTCTTTTTTTCAGATGCTCTTATAATAGTAAGTTTTCTGTAATCATAAGGTAAATTTTCTGACTTAGGAATGAAATTAACTTGTATTAGCTCTGTATAAACAAACATGAAACAAAGCTAGTTACAAAAAATAATGATGTGGTTACAGGACAGCTTTTTTAGTTCTGTCCAAAATCAATCTCAAACACAAGCAAGGGTATTATTAACATTAAATATTTATGTGGCACTTTGCCTGTAGAGTGCTTTACTTTTCTTACCTTCAGTGTTCTATTAGCAAGTGTAGAATTTCTGGAACCTTGCCCCTAAGAGACTAGTTTTTTTACATTCTATAATCTACTCCTTTCTAGAAAATGAGTTGATTTTAAAGAAATAACTTTATCAATCACAACAGTATTATTATATTGACCGTATACTTTTTACTTAAGAAACTTTATTTTTTCCTATTTTTGAATGTTTTGAGGTAGGAGGAAGAAAGCTTAAGGCAAAAGATTAGTTATTACCAGCTGTCACTAACTAAGGAAACCAGTGTACAATTTAAAAAAAACTAGTTTGACCTTGCAAGCTGGATATCTCTTCCCTTTCCCATTCTCTAGCTGTTTGGTCTTTCAAGTGGGGGGAAAAAAACACTGAGAGGAATTTTTCTCCATGTATTTTTTTTCTGGTAGAAAGGTTAGTTTATTCTTAAACTTACATGAAAATAGAAGCCTCTGTGTCTTAAATCCTAATGATTAGTCTTGTTGTATTTTTGTTCATTTTAATATTCAAAGCCACTCTACTTTTATTCTTGGGGAGGGTCTGATATCTTTGTCAAATTTATTCACTTTTAGTTGTCCTTATCTTTGAAAATCAATGATTTTGACTATCATCTTCCTGTTTCATATTACCTTTAATTTTGATTAGGGTTATTTGAAGTTTTATTTAAAATATTTGATTTTTGATAGTTTTTAGTCACTTCATATCTGTTGGGTCCTTGTGTTCTCTTAAGTTATGAATTTAAAGGTCATGAATTCTAGCATGCTTTTTTAAAGAGAAGTACAATCAGTAACTTCAGTTTGCAAATTTTTGAGTTTGTGGCTTCTGTGATGAATATGTATATGGTAAGAAAGGAAACAGTTTTTCATAGATAAGACTTTTTTATAGCTAGACCTGAAGTTTATTCCCATAAAATTTTTGAAATTCAATTTTTAAAGTGTTCTTGTGGGCTTAGAAATATATTTAATCCATCATGTGGAGGTTATGTTCTGTAAGAGAAGCAAAAAGGTTACCATAATAGTAACCAAAAAGAATTCACTGCTTTCTAAAGAGCTAAAAGCCTTTTTATACCCACAAACCAGAGTTGGCATGCAAATTTCTGTACAACTTTTTTCTAGGTTGGGAAAATTTTTCTATTTCTTTCTTACCTTTCTTAGAGAAAGTACTTCTGAAATAAAAGAATAAATTTTATTTTTTTTTTGAGACAGAGTCTCGCTTTGTTGCCCAGGCTGGAGTGAATACCGTGGCGTCAGCCTAGCTCACAGCAACCTCAAACTCCTGGGCTCAAGCAATCCTGCTGCCTCAGCCTCAGGTAGCTGGGGCTACAGGCATGCACCACCATGTCTGGCTCATTTTTTCTATATATATTAGTTGGCCAATTAATTTCTTTCTATTTATAGTAGAGACAGGGTCTTGTTCTTGCTCAGGCTGGTTTAGAACTCCTGACCTCGAGCAGTCCGCCCGCCTCAGCCTCCCAGAGTGCTAGGATTACAGGTGTGAGCCACCGTGCCTGGCCAAAAGAATAATTTTCATCAGAAATCATCTTGAAATAATTAATGTTTACCATAGAACATAAGGGCTGTCACATTTTTATTTAATGGACATTGTTTTACCATTAGTGGTTATGTAACACCTATTTCTTTCTTTTTGTTTTGTTTTTGCTTTTTTTGAGACAGGGTCTCGCTCTGTTGCCCAGGCTAAAGTGCAGTGAAGTCATCACAGCTCACTGCATCCTCAAACTCCTGGGCTCAAGTTATCCTCTTGCCTCAGTCTCCCGAGTATCTGGGACTATAAGCACACACCACCATGCCCAGCTAATTTTTATGTTTTTTGTAGAGGATCTCAAGATGTTGCTCAGGCTGGTCTCTGAACTCTTAGCCTCAAGCAGTCCTCCCACTTCAGCCTCCCAAAGTGGTAGGATTACAGGCACGAGCCACTCTGTCCCCCAAGCATATTTGTTTTTAGATTTTGTAACAGTAAAGTATTAAATATTTAAGGATTTAACCCAATATCAATAATAAATTTAAAAATTTAGTATTCTTGTTTGCTGTGTTTCATTTATTGGTGTTTTTTCCTGGGAAAATCATAAGTACTTTACCCAAACCACATTAATCCACCAGTGTCCCTGTTTTGTTTTTATTTGTATGCTTAGTACCTAGCCCAATGCCTTGGCACACGGCAGATATTCAGTCAATGCTCTTTGATTATCTAGTCAGCCAAATGTATTTTTTAAATCAAAAGTTGTCTAACATTGTTAATTAGAGTGATTTCTTTTAGTGAATGAGAGAGCTATCTCTATTATATATGAATTAGTAAGGTCATCATCTCCTGTTTTTCAGGGTCCTCATTCTTCATTTGAAACGATATAGCTTTAATGTGGCTCTCTCACTTAACAACAAGATTGGGCAGCAAGTCATCATTCCAAGATACCTGACCCTATCATCTCATTGCACTGAAAATACAAAACCACCTTTTACCCTCGGTTGGAATGCACATATGGCAATGTAAGTCCATAAGAGAGAATGTCTTTTCATTCCCTTTTGAAGTAGAAAGACTTTAGTATCCAATCAAAAGACTAAATAAACTAGGTAATACTCCCAGGTAGAATCACATCAGATTTTAATTTTGCTTTACTTTGGAATTTAGTGTTAAATTACTGCCTGATTGAAGTAATTGAAGAAAGGGCTTAAACAAAATTCTTCCAAGTTCATTAGCTGCCTTTCATAACGAGGTGCTTTTTTAGAAAGTGCTCTTACTCTTTTAGACCACTAGAAGATAGTTTGATACACTTTGGGAATATAAATCAAATTTGGGTGATCATGAGAGTCACCTGGACACTAAAAATACTGATTTCTATGTTTTTCCCTAGAGCAGGCATCCTCAAACTACGGCCCACGGGCCACATGCGATGTTTTTGCCCGTTTGTTTTTTTACTTCAAAATAAGATATGTACAGTGTGCATAGGAATTTGTTCATAGTTTTTGTTAAACTATAGTCCGGCCCTCCAACAGTCTGAGGGACAGTGAACTGGCCCCCTGTTTAAAAAGTTTGAGGACCCCTGCCCTAGAGATTCTGTTTCAGTAGATCTCTGATAGGGTGTGGGAATCTATTTTGAATAAATGGTGCTCACTTTGGCAGCACATATACTAAAATTGGAATGATACAGAGAAGTTTAGCATGGCCCCTGCACAGGATGACACATAAATTCATGAAGCTTTCCATATTTAAAAAAAAAAAAAGGAAAAATGTCTCAGCTTACTATTTAGGACATGAAGATTTGAGAAACAGTATACTGAATGTTTTGCTGGATCCCCAAAAATAGATTATACCTTCATAAGTATCGTAGCATCAATGTGCAGAACTTAAATCATTCCAATAAATTTTTCAAGAACAAGTTACCTTTTCTATAGGTTTTGCTTCATCATGTATGCTGGGAAAACCTTAGAACTTTTTTGAATATTTCTCTTTTTTCTGCATACTTGGATTACTTTGGAGCCATATTATATACTGAGTCATTATTTACTGTACTTGAACACTGGTTTGGTAGAGTCATAAAGTTCTAGAATTTTAGAGGTAAAAGAGATTTTAGTTATTTTGTCCAAATCCTTAATTTTACAGAAGAGATATGAGGAAATTAAATGATTTTCCTAAGGTCATGCATATAGTTAGTAACCAAAAGAGCCATATCTCTTAGGTAAAATGAAATAATAGACATTTCAGAAAGTGAATGAACATTTGCCAACATGATTTGATGCAGTTTTATAAAATGTCCTTTGGATTTATAATTGAAATATATACTACATCATATAACTTTACATTAAAGTCCTCAAGAGTCTACTAAAAAAAGCATGTGCCCAGAGAGTTTTAGTGTTTCTGTTTTTTTTCTCTATAGCTTTTCTTTGAAATAAATGTTTTTGCTTGGTGCAAACTGCCCTCTGCTGGTAGAGCTATTACTCTTTCTCCAGTAGTACTATATGATACCATGGGTATAGGATCTTTAAGATTACAGACCTTAAACCAGGTTATCTGATGCTACAGTTTAATAGCTTTAAGACCTTGGACAAATTTCTTGATTTGTCTGTAGGGCAGGTAATAGGGAAGTTGTGAACATTAAATGAGCTAATACGTAGAGTTCTTACAGTACCTGATGTCTAATAAGTCCTCAATAAATGAGAGCTATTATTATTTATTGCTAAAAGTAAGAATATTTTAAAACAAGGTACTTTTTGGCCGGGCGAGGTGACTCATGCCTGTGATCTTAGCACCCTGGGAAGCCGAGGCAAGAGGATTGCTTGAGGTCGGGAGTTCAAGACCAGCCTAAGCAAGAGTGAGACCTGCCTCTACTAAAAATAGAAAAAATTAGCTGGGCATGGTGGTGAGCACCTATGGTACCAGCTATTTGGTAGGCTGAGGCAGAAGGATTGCTTGAGCCCAGGAGTTTGAGGTTGCTGTGAGCTAGGCTGATGCCATGGCAGTCTAACCCAGGCAACAGAGTAAGACTCTGTTTAAAAAAAAAAAACACAACAAAATAACAAAAAATAAAATAAAAAGTAAAACAAGATACTTTTCCCAAAGTTGTTCTTTTCATATGCATTACCCCCTTGACTTAATTTCTAATGCTGTTTAGATTGTGGATCAAGTAAAGCCTAGAAATGATATTTCATTTTCTCATTGGCCTCTATTACTAGTAATTTAAACTGATAAGAACAGATACTACACTTGATCTTAGCCCAAAGGGCTGAGAACGATTGCTAGTAATTTAAAAAATGTTAGAATTGTTTGTTTTTTCAAGAGGACATATAAGGGATTATAGTACAAAATATTATGTAAGTTAAATATTAGATAACATCTTTAATAATGCATTTGTATACATTATATATTTTCTAATTTTCTGATAGTTCTAGACCATTGAAAGCCTCTCAAATGGTGAATTCCTGCATCACCAGTCCTTCTACACCTTCAAAGTGAGTTACATTTCTTTGTACCCAAAATCTGTATTTTTAAGGATTTGGCTTACCCTAAATCTCCAAGATTGCCCCCTTCCTTTTTCTTTATAGTTTCTCCTTTTGCATGATAATTGCTCTGTATTACCCATACTTGGATTTTACTGAATCTGATTAAGAGTATAGCCAAAGGTGTAACAAATTTTTAAATAGTGACATGAGTTTAACTGATTTTCTATTGTTTTGTCTTAAATTGTTTTCTTAAAACTTACTTGTTAAAATATAATATTTTCACCCTAAAACTCTAAAAATTGACTGATGACAAGGGATTCTAGGGATCAAAGGGATAAAATAACCCCAGTTAGTCTGAGGCATCCTTCCTCAAAGATAGGCATGGGATGCCAAAGCATCTTTTTACCTCTTGTTAGCCAGTCTGGGATTTCTTGTCTTCAACACTGAATAGGAGATATTCTGAAAGGAGACAAGACAAACAGGCATTGCAATGCAGCTATTCTACAAATGCCTTATGTTTTTTCTTCAGAACAAAAGTTTATCCAAGGAGGGAAGCAAATTCTTTTTTAAAAAATATATCTCTTTTAAGATTTTACTAGAGTAGTTCCTAATTTGACAATTCCAATTGATTTGTTTTCATTTGACTTTGAAATTCATTTTTCTAAAAATTTAATGGCCCAAAGTGCTTTTAGAGAAGAGACACTTTTGTTGTTTAAGAACTTTTGGGGGGCTTATATAACCATAAAATGACATTTGGGAACTGCTATTTTCTTTTCCTCCTGTTAATTATTTTTCAGTGCAATTAAAACCAGATGACTAACATGACTAGAAATGTGAAATGGTACCGATATGAATACTCTTGCCCGTTCTCAAGATACAAATGAGCAGTACCACTTGGCTGCTTAGAAAGTGAGCAAGTGATGCATTTACAGGATGAATATTTTTCATTGCTACAGGCAAGCTGCCTTCTGTAAATATAGTAATTATTAATGAAATGCACTCTTTATGTACCATATCACTATAATTACAAGAGAGGGACGGTTTCATTGGGCATCATTGTACCTTGACATAGTCATCTGTTCTCCAGGGTCTACTGGTATGAGAATTTGAAAATTAAACAATAAAGGATGATTAGGCCTTAGAAGACCTGTCATGTGGATCAAACTTAAAAGAGGCCGAGTTATGAACCAGAATACCATTGGTTCTTCTACAATGACCTTTTGTTACATTTGACACTGGTATGATAGTAGCACCAGGTGTCACCCTCCTTCAGCAAAGTATTTACCTGGATAAACAAATTAATATGTTCAAGTTTGCTTGGTGAGCATGAAATCAGAAATGAGGAATTAACATGGCTAATTGGCTACTTCTAAGTTATACTAAAAACCGTTTTGAACATACAATGGGAGGCTATTCAAGTGTTTAGGCTGGAGTGCAGTGATATCCTAGTTGCTCTCAGCCATAGGCTTTGCTTGGGCTTATCACTGACCACTTGCCTCTTTTCTTTGATCTACATTGCTACACAATCCTCCTGATTTCCATTGTGGTCTCTTATTTCTTGGTGCCATTATTCTATATGTTTATTTAGTTTTTACATTTAGGTTAATGACGTTTTTCCAATTTTCATTTTACTTTTTTTTAGTATAACATATGAATTTATGTTACCCTCCATCAAAGGAAGTACTTGTTCTTTGTTACCACTTTTTCCTTTATTTTCAGCTCACCTAGAATACAAACACAGTAACACCTTATTTATCTCTAGTATCAATCATTTTGGATGAAAATTTTTCTAAAATATGTTATATTATTGGTTATTCTTAAATAAAACACACTGAAGATAATTTAAGTATATCTTAATGACCAAGAATTAACAACATTATATAAGTATCACTGTGTTTTAAAATGATACTGCCGGCCGGGACGGTGGCTCACGCCTGTAATCCTAGCACTCTGGGAGGCCGAGGCAGGCAGATTGCTCAAGGTCAGGAGTTCAAAACCAGCCTGAGCAAGAGCAAGACCCGTCTGTACTATAAATAGAAAGAAATTAATTGGCTAACTAATGTATATAGAAAAAATTAGCCAGGCATGGTGGCACATGCCTGTAGTCCCAGCTACTTGGGAGGCTGAGGCAGCAGGATTGCTTGAGCCCAGGAGTTTGAGGTTGCTGTGAGCTAGACTGATGCCACAGCACTCATTCTAGCCTGGGCAACAAAGTGAGACTCTATCTCAAAAAAAAATAATAACAATAATAATAAAATGATACTGCCCTGAAAGGCTCTTAATTATTACAAGACAATTTACTTATTTTACATTAAAAACTTTATAGTTCTTTTTTGCCCTTTTTGTGGTATTCTCTTTCATTTCTTAGCTCTCATTTCTTAATGAACTTGCTACACTATTTTATACATCATTTCCTGGGAAAGGAAGGGTCCCTCTAAGTGCAGGGGCTTTGGAATGGCCTTCCTCAGAAGCCTTTTTTCTTACTTTGGAATCCTTGTGTTCTGGAAGGTAGAGGTTATCAGAAGTCTGACCTACAGATAAGTGGATAAGTGGAATGTCATTGTTATCTTAAAAGTGCATGGATCATAATTTAAAAGATCAAAACTTGTCCTCATGCACTTTGTTGTCAGAAACATCTATTTATTGCCATGCTTGCATGAATTCAGTAGAGACTGACTTTATAAAGACAAAAAGCAAACTTCGCCTGGGCATGGTGGCTCACGCCTGTAATCTTAGCATTCTGCGAGGCTGAGGCGGGCAGATTGCTCGAGGTCAGGAGTTCGAAACCAGCCTGAGCAAGAGCAAGACCCGTCTCTACTATAAATAGAAAGAAATTAATTGGACAACTAATATATATATAGAAAAAATTAGCCGGCCATGGTGGCGCATGCCTGTAGTCCCAGCTACTCAGGAGGCTGAGGCAGGAGGATCGCTTATAGCCAGGAGTTTGAGGTTGCTGTGAGCTAGGCTGATGCCACGGCACTCACTCTAGCCTGGGCAACAAAGTGAGACTCTGTCTCAAAAAAAAAATAAATAAATAAAAAATAGAATGAAATTAGCTGGACAACTAAAAATATATAGAAAAAATTAGCTGGACATGGTGGTGTATGCCTATAGTCCCAGCTACTTGGGAGGCTGAGGCAGAAGGATTGCTTGATCCCAGGAGTTTGAAGTTGCTGTGAGCTAGGCTGACACCATGGCACTCTAGCCGGGGAAACAAAGTAAGACTGTCTCAAAAAAAAAAAAAAAAAGCAAACTTCAAGGGGGTTGATCATTTAAAAGAAAAAAGGCACAAAGGGATTGGTTTACTGATGGTATATAATAGCATAGGAGTTGTCCAGATTTCAAAGCAGGCTCTTTTGGAGTGGGGCAGAGGTAATACTTAAATATACCTCTTTTGATATATCTTTTTTCTCTGTGAAATAATTTTTCATAATGGAAAAGCGTTTCGTTTTGGTATTTATACATCAAAAGAATAACAAAGACAAATGTTTATCAGACTTATATGGGTTTTTTTCTTAATTTACAGGAAATTTACCTTCAAATCTAAGAGCTCCTTGGCTTTATGCCTTGATTCAGACAGTGAGGATGAGCTGAAACGCTCTGTGGCCCTCAGCCAGAGACTTTGTGACATGTCATGCAATGAACAACAGCAGGAAGTCCTGGAAAAAGTAAGTAATTTTTCATCAAAACATCTGACAAAGATTTGTGTAGCTCTTATTGTCCAAACAAATGCCTTTTATAACCATGATCATCAAACTTCCTAAAGATACAAGATAAATCATAAACTCCATGGCTTTGTTCAAACACTAATTTTAAAGAGATACTTTAACTACAAAAACCAATCTGTTTACTGATGGATCAAGACTTTTAAGAAAGAAAAGTTTATATCAACAGAGCAACTAAGTAATCTACCTGTTTAAATTATGAATGTATAAATACTGGTATATCAAGATACTTCTATATCATTTTCTATCTTGACATTTACTGAGAGTTAATACTTTGAAGATCTAAGCTCTTCTAGGTGTTTGCATCGTCTTATGCTATTGTGTTTTATTTAAACTTCCTTTTTGTTAAATAATAGAATTATTTTAGTGGTTATTTTTTGTTGTGAGTTGTTTCCTTTCTCACTTTAAAGCTAAAGGTAATTTGTGTTTGCTCACCTTGAATGAGAAATGAAAGAAAGTTAGAAATTATCCCAGAAATGGAATTTATTCAGAAAATAATTTCTGAATATTTTTATAAACTTGATGTAGTTTTTATTTTTCTCATTTGTTTTTATTTTATTTTTTTTAATTATTTTACTTTTTTTTTTGAGACAGAGTCTCGCTCTGTTGGCTGGGCTAGAGTGCCATGGCATCAGCCTAACTCACAGCAACCTCAAACTCCTGGGCTCAAGCAATCCTGCCTCAGCCTCCCGAGTAGCTGGGACTATAGGCATGCGCCACCATGCCCGGCTAATTTTTTCTATATATTTTTAGTTAGCCAATTAATTTCTTATTATTTTTTTAGTAGAGACGGGGTCTTGCTCTTGCTCAGGCTGGTTTTGAACTCCTGACCTTGAGCAATCTACCCGCCTCGGCCTCCCAGAGTGCTAGATTTATAGGCATAAGCCACCAGTAATCTATTTTGAGTGAATTTATTTTATTATTTTTATGTGGTTTGCAAATTTTTACAAAATTCGCACTTTTTTTTTGTGACAGAGTCTTGCTCTGTCACACCGAGTAGAGTGCAGTGGTGTCATCATAGCTCAGACTCTGATCTCAAGCAATCCTTCTGCCTCAGCCTCCTGAGTAGCCAGGACTATAACACATGCCACTATGCCTGGACGCCTGGCTAATTTTTCTATTTTTAATAGAAACAGGGTCTTGCTCTTGCTAAGGTTGGTCAGGAAACTTTTTAGAAATAAAATGAAGTCGTCACTTTAGGTTTCTAATTAAGCTTGCTATGTTTGGCTGGATGCAGTGGTTCATACCTGTATAGTAGAGCGAGACCCCGTCTCTACTATAAATAGGAAGAAATTAATTGGACAACTAATATACATAGAAAAAATTAGCCTGGCATGGTGGCACGTGCCTGTAGTCCCAGCTACTTGGGAGGCTGAGGCAGCAGGATTGCTTGAGTCCAGGAATTTGAGGTTGCTGTGAGCTAGGCTGACGCCACAGCACTCACTCTAGCCTGGGCAACAAAGCGAGACTCTGTCTCAAAAAAAAAAAAAAAGAAAAAAGATTGCTATGTTTGTTGGTATTCCAGTTTCCTCTAAAAGGTAACTCTCTTCTTCAGGATTCAAAATTATGCCGAATAGAGCCTGATAAGTCCGAATTGGAAAACTCAGGATTTGACAGAATGAGTGAAGAAGAGCTTCTAGCAGCTGTCTTAGAGATAAGTAAGACAGAAACTTCACCATCTCTGAGTCATGAAGATGATGAAAAACCAACCAGCAGCCCAGATACCGGATTTGCAGAAGATGATATTCAAGAAATGCCTGAAAATCCAGACACTATGGAATCTGAGAAGCCCAAAACAGTCACAGAGCCAGGTAGGCTTAATGAAGATAAACATCTGTTAAAACATAGCTGTTCCAAAACCTTATAGTGACCGTTGGCTTCTAAATAATGGGAGGTGAAGTGAATCGATATAACAGCTGACAATATTTTATGCTTTATTATAAAAAGGTTTAAAAAATGAGAAGTAAATATTGTGACTAGTATACAGATGCTTGGTAAAGTATACCATTTCCCTTGAGATGTACATCAGGAGTAAAGTTAGCATTCTTATGTACATTTAATGTTTTTGTCAGTTTTGGGATACTTTTCTCACCACTGTTATCTTAGAAATTCATATAATTCATTATTTTTCTATATCTGAAATTTTATCAGGTTTTAGTAAATAATTCATGTTCTCCATCCTCTGCACAATGCATTACCTTTTCTATGTTTAGATATACAACTACTTACCATCGTGTTACAATTGCCTACAATACAGGTTTACAGCCTAGGAGCGGTAAATGATACCATATAGCGGGGGTGCACAGTAAGCTATAGTATCTAGGTTTGTAGAAGTGTACTCTATGATGTTCACACAATGAAATCGCCTAATAACGCATTTCTCAAAACCTATCCCCATCATCAGGTGACACATGATCATACATATGATGTAAAGTGCTATACACATATAAAATTATTTTTGTTACCAGAATCATGTCAGGAAAAATAAAAAAAAACAAAAAAAAATTATTTTTGGTAATTTTTATTCTATTTTTGTTATTTCTTAAGCTATCAATGGGAATAATAGAGCTGAGCCTCCTTGCCTTTCCTGTGGGTATTTTGAGATTTTTATTTTATTTTTCTTAGACAGACACTCTGTTGCCCAGGCTAGAGTGCCATGGCATGAGCCTGGCTAACAGCAACCTCAAACTCCTGGGCTCAAGCAATCCTCCTCCCTCAGCCTCCCAAATAGCTGGGACTATAGGCATACACCACCATACCCGGCTAATTTTTTCTATATATATTTTTAGTTTGCCAATTAATTTTGTTCTATTTTAGTAGAGATGAGGTCTTGCTCTTGGCTCAGGCTGGTTTCGAACTCCTGACCTTGAGCAATCCGCCCGCCTCGGCCTCCCAGAGTGCTAGGATTACAGGCGTGAGCCACCACGCCTGGCCTATTTTGAGATTTTTAGGTAGAGTATTTTTACTATCTCTTCCTGTGACCAATTCTAAGTTTTCTGTCTTGAAAGCTCCAAGATCTAAAAAAAATACTACTAATGTGTTTCAGGTACACTAGGCCTAGGATTTTAGAAATGAAGAGAATAGAAGACTATCACAAAATTATTTTCTATATCCTCATAGTCAAAACCTCTTCAAATTTGAATTCTTTTATATGCAAATAAAATAAAAATTATTAGGTCATTAAATATGAAATGTCCATTTATTATATCTCAAACAAGAAGCAGAATAATTAAAGCATGTATCTAAACTCGTCACAGTTTTCCCATCTTAATAGTAGCTTGCTTATGTTAGCAGTGACGACGAAGCCCAGAGAACAAGCGGCAATGAAATGGTAAAAGGTGTTTTCCATAGCTTGTTGAAAATTCAATATTTTTCCTTACAAGAAGTCCAGGCCAGGTCCGGTGGCTCACACCTGTAATCCTAGCACTCTGTGAGGCCGAGGCAGGCGGATCGCTCGAGGTCAGGAGTTCGAAACCAGCCTGAGCAAGAGCGAGACCCCATCTCTACTAAAAGGAGAAAGAAATTAATTGGCCAACTGAAAATATATAGAAAAAATTAGCCGGGCATGGTGGCACATGCCTGTAGTCCCAGCTACTCGGGAGGCTGAGGCAGGAGGATCGCTTGAGGCCAGGAGTTTGAGGTTGCTGTGAGCTAGGCTGATGCCACAGCACTCTAGCCCAGGCAACAGAGTGAGACTCTGTGTCAAAAATAAATAAATAAATAAAAGAAGTGGTCCAAAGCCTGGAAGAAGTGGTAGTCCAGTTGGTGCAAGGTCTGGTGAATATGGTAGGTGACAGAGAGTTTCCAAGTCCAGCTTCTGTAGTTTGAACAGTGTTGTATTTTGTCAGACGTGGTCTTGCAAGAGAGTTGGCCTGTCTCTGTTGACCAATCTCAGCTGCTTAATCACAACCATCTTCATTTCATTCAATCAGTTGCAGTAGACATCCACTTGTAATGAATTGAATAGGTTTCATGAAGCTGTAGTGGATAAGACCAGTGCTAGACCACCAAACAGACACCATTAGCTTCTTTGATAGATATTGAGTTTTGGACTATTGTTTCAGCACTTCATCTTTATCCAACCATTGTGCTGAGCACTTGCAATTGTCAAAAAGAATCCATTTTTCAGCACATATAACAATATGGTGTAGAAATGGTTCATCTTTATGTCATTACAGCAAAGAAAGTCAAGCTTCAAAATAATGTCTCTGCTGATGTGGTTTAATTGATGCAGTACCCATCTATTCAGTTTCATCTTACCAATTTGTTTCAAATGGTCCAATATTGTTAGAATAGTAATGTCAAACCTTGCTGCTAATTTATGCATTGGTTGAATGCATTTACTTTCACTACAGCTTTCAGTTCATCATTGTCTCAGGTCACTCACATGGCTCATTTTCAAGATTAAAATCACCAGAATGGAACTTCTCAAACCATCAACACACTGTTTATTAGCCACATCCTTCCCAAACACTTCATTGATATTTCGAGCTATCTGTGCTGCATTGGTTCCACGTCAGAACTCATATTCAAAAATAACACAAAATTTTGACTTACCATGGTTTCACAAAAGTTGCTCTAAAAATTTGAAAGATAATCACAAGCCAAATCATGCATTTGAAAAAATGAGAATGTGCCTTCACAATAGGAAAAAAAAACAAGAAGTGTCGAAGTGAAATGTCCGCAATATCAAGTGTTAAACTTAGTACTTAAGAATATTGGATCGTTTGAGTTCAGGAGTTCGAAACCAACCTGAGCAAGGGCGAGACCCCGTCTCTACTATAAAGAGAAAGAAATTAATTGGCCAACTAATATATATACAAAAAAAAAAAAATTAGCTGGGCATGGTGGTGCATGCCTGTAGTCCCAGCTACTCGGGAGGCTGAGGCAGCAGGATCGCTTGAGCCCAGGAGTTTGAGGTTGCTGTGAGCTAGGCTGACGCCACGGCACTCACTCTAGCCTGGGCAACAAAGTGAGACTCTGTCTCAAAAAAAAAAAAAAGAATATTGGACATTCCTTACTTAATAACCTAATAATATATCATTTAACTGGAAACAAAAAGCTGATGGTTTTTGTATACATACATTACTCTTTTCCCTTTTATTAAATTTATAATCACTGCCTTTAGATATTACTGGTAAATATTAGTGCTTTTATCCCTTCCTGATTTGCATCCTGCTTTCTGTTCTTTCTTTCAATTCTTTGCTCAGTCCTATAGCTCCGTAAAAGTAACAAGGAAAGTTACACTTATATACAGTTAATTCTAGATTATCTATCCCACTGGAAAGCATGGAGGTTATCAAAATCATTAATAATCCTAGTTGAGGCTGGGTACAGTCGCTCATTCCTATAATCCTAACACTTTGGGAGACTGAGGTGGGAGGATAGCTTGAGGCTGGAAGTTTGAGACCAGCTTGGGCAGCATAGCAAGACCTCCATCTCTACAAAATTTGTTTTAAAATTAGCCAGCTGTGGTGGTGTGAACCTGTAGTTCCAGCTACTTTGGAGACTGGGGCAAGAGGATTGCTTGACCCGAGGAGTTTGAGGTTACAGTGAGCTGTGATGGCACCACTGTACTCTAACCCCAGGAGACAGAGTGAGACTCTGTCTCAAAAAAAATTGTGAGTTTTGCACCTAATAAATGCTAAGGTGTTTTTTTTCTCTTTTAATAAATATTCAGAGTTTATTTTAGTGATAAAATATTTCCTCAGCAATACAACTCAAAATGATAACTAGTTGCTGATTTAGAATCTAAAAGCCAAGATGCTATGAGCTTCAGAGTTATCTGTGTTATAGAAAAGTATCCATTTAAAATGCAGTGCTAGCCAGATGTGGTGGCTCACACCTATAATCCTAGCACTCTGGGAGGCCGAGGCGGGAGGATCACTCAAGGTCAGGAGTTCAAGACCAGCCTGAGCAAGAGTGAGACCCTGTCTCTACTAAAAATAGAAAGAAATTAGCTGGACAAGTAAAAATATATAGAAAAATTTAGCCAGGTGTGGTGGCGCATGCCTGTAGTCCCAGCTACTCAGGAGGCTGAGGCAGGGAGCCTAGGAGTTTGAGGTTGCTGTGAGCTAGGCTGATGCCAGGGCACTCTAGCCCAGGCAACAGAGGAAGACTCTGTTTGAAAAAAAACAACAGCGCTGACCGGGTATGGTGGCTCACACCTGTAATCCCAGCCAAGGTGGGAGGATTGCTTGAGGCCAGGAGTTCAAGATCAGCCTGGGCAATATAGTGAGACCTCCTTCTCTACAAAAATTTTTTTAAAAATTATCTGGGCATGTTGGTGTGTGTCTGTGGTCCTACCTACTCTGGAGACTGAGGTAGGAGGATCACTTGAGCCAGAAGTTCAAGGATACAGTAAGCTATGATTGCATCATTGCACTCCAGCTTGGGCAGCAGAATAAGACCCTGTCTCAAAAATAAAGTAAAATGCAGTATTATGGCAGGTAAAGAGCATATACCAGCTGGGTGCAGTGACTCACACCTGTAAATCTCAACACTTTGGGAGGCCAAGGCAGGAGGATTGTTTGAGGATAGGAGTTCAACACCAGCCTGGGCAACATAGTAAGACTTCATCACTACAAAAAATAAAAAGATAAAAATTAGCCAGCCATGGTGATTTTTGCTTGTTTGTCCTAGCTACTTGGGAGGATGAGCTAGGAGGATTGCTTGAGCCCAGGAGTTTGAGGCTCCAGCGAGCTATGATCATGCTGCTACACTCCAGCCTGGGCAACAGTGCAAAACCCTGTCTCAAAATAACCAAAAAAGAGCATATGGTAACTTAAAAACAATCTGTATATCATGAATGTATAAAGCTCCAGTGAGCTATGATCATGCTACTACACTCCAGCCTGGGCAACAGTGTAAAACCCTGTCTCAAAATAACCAAAAAAGAGCATATGGTAACTTAAAAAGAGCATATGGTAACTTAAAAACAATCTGTATACCATGAATGTATAAAGATAATACTCATTGACCAGTATTTTCTTACCTTGTTAAGATGAGACTTTTTACTTTGGTAAAGTGTTTGATATAATTTTAAAAAGAAGGATCCTCTTCTCCCTACTCTTACCAGTATTAAAAATTATAATGAGGCTGGGTGAGGTGGCTCACGCCTGTAATCCTAGCACTCTGGGAGGTGGATTACTCAAGCTCAGGAGTTCGAAACCAACCTGAGCAAGAGTGAAACCCCGTCTCTACTATAAATAGAAATAAATTAATTGGCCAACTAATATATATAGAAAAAATCAGCCAGGCATAGTGGCACATGCCTGTAGTCCCAGCTACTTGGGAGGCTGAGGCAGCAGGATTGCTTGAACCCAGGAGTTTGAAGTTGCTGTGAGCTAGGCTGACGCCATGGCACTCACTCTAGCCTGGGCAATAGAGTGAAACTCTGTCTCAAAAAAAAAAAAAAAATTATAATGAAATGTTGTTGCTCTAAATTTAAATAACCAGAACAAAATTATGACTATCTTATTTATCCTAGCTAGCCATAATTCATTGAGAAGGAACAAAAAGGATAGAAATGAAAGATTAATTTTTTTTTTTTTTTTTTTTTTTTTTTTTTTTGAGACAGAGTCTCACTTTGTTGCCCAGGCTAGAGTGAGTGCCGTGGCGTCAGCCTGGCTCACAGCAACCTCAATCTCCGGGGCTCAGCGATCCTACTGCCTCAGCCTCCCGAGTAGCTGGGACTACAGGCATGCGCCACCCATGCCGCTAATTTTTTGTATATATATTTTTAGTTGGTCAATTAATTTCTTTCTATTTTTGTGTAGTAGATCCTAGCTCAAGGCGGTATTCGAACTCCTGACCTTGAGCGATCCGCCCGCCTCGGCCTCCCAAAGTGCTAGGATTACAGGCGTGAGCCACCGCGCCCGGCTGAAAGATTAATTTTTTTTACCTCCCAGAATGAATGTTTTAAACATATACTATATATTGCCATAGACTATACAGTACTTATTACTTTCCCCTTAGCTCTTTTGATTTAGAGTATATATAATGCTTGATTATTAATATGAAAACATTTTCAGTTAATGTACAATATAATAAATGGGAAGATCTTAATATTAACTTAGTAATTTTATGCCTGATTCTTATTTCATTTACTCGTAAACAATATTTCTAGTGCTTGGTCATATGACACTATGATCTATGAATATGGCTATTTGTTCTTCTCCATCATTAACCATAGTGTGTTTCTAGTGATTGGTTAAGTTTCAGAACCATTGCTGAAGTTGTTAATTCTCAACCAAGGACAGTTTTGTCCTCCAGGGAACCTGTAGCAATGTCTATCATTTTGGTTATCACAACTATAGAAGATGAGTGCTATAGCATCTAGTAGGTGGAGGCCAGGGTTGCTGTTAAACATTCTACAATGCATAGGACAGACTCTACTCCACTACTCCCAACCAAAACTTGTCCCACCCAAAATGTCAGTAGTACTGAGGTTGAGAAATCCAGATGTAGATATAGTAAGATGAAACTGTATGTCCCAAGCAAATTATAGATGAGGTTAGAATAAATTCCTTTCTGAACAGTAGATGTCACTCTAGTCCAGGAATTACAGTTTATTAGAGACAAAGTCCCAAAATAATGTTATATATTCTGCTTCCTCAGATCCTGCCAGTTTTACTGAGATAGCTAAAGACTGTGATGAAAATAAAGAAAACAAAACTCCAGAAGTTTCTCAAGAAGTTGATTGGCTCCAGCAGTATGATATGGACCGTGAAAGGGAAGAACAAGAGCTTCAGCAGGCATTGGCTCAGAGCCTTCAAGAGCAGGTAAGTAAGAGATATTTATATTGCTACTTTCTCTCTTTTGTTAAATTTTTTTATTTTTTTGAGACATAGTCTCACTCTGTTGCTCAAGCTAGAGTGCCGTGGTGTCAGCCTAGCTCACAGCAACCTTAAACTCCTGGGGTCAAATAATCCTGCTGCCTCAGCCTCCCGAGTAGCTAGGACTACAGGCATGCGCCACCATGCCCACCTCATTTTTTCTATATATATTAGTTGGCCAATTTCTTTCTATTTATATTAGAGACAGGGTCTCACTCTTGCTCAGGCTGGTTTTGAACTTCTGACCTTGAGCGATCCACCCGCCTCAGCCTCCTAGAGTGCTTGGATTACAGGCGTGAGCCACTGTGCCTGGCCGCTTCTTTCTCTTTACCTTTCTCAAGAAATAGAATAATGACAATAACTAACACTTGTTGAACACTTATATGTCGGGCATTGTTCCAGGTGATTTTTTTTTCATTTTTTTATTATCTTGTTTTTTCTTTTTTTTTCCCTCAGCATCTATGTTCCAGGTGATTTACAAAATATAATAAATAATTGATCCACCAAGAAAAAAAAACTTTGAGGGTTGCCTTGGGTTTCAAACACGTACATAGATAGTTTTGTCCTTTTTTTTTTTTTTTTTTTTTTTTTTTCGCCCTCTCAACCCAGCTTTTCCCGACTCCGGGAAGAACCGGGAAGAGAAGGCCTGTTTTGTCCTTTTTTTGAAAATCCAAATTTAACAAAATGTATTCTTGCTTACTTTCTGTAACTATAGTTCATTGTGTACTAAAATAAGATGGGATATTAGAGATTATTCCCAGTCCAACTTTATTTTGCAAGGTATGGAAACAGTCAGTATACCACGATTTTATCATTAATATTTTAAGGCAATGTATTCATTTTGGTCATTTTCTCACAATATAAATCCTTTCTTATGAATTATTTGAACATAAAATTCTCATAAATATTATATAAAATCTAACTTTCAAGCCAGGTATAGTAGCTCTCACCTATAATCCCAGCTACCCAGGAGACTGAAGTGGGAGCATCACTGAGTCCAGGAGTATAAGACCATCCTGGGCGATATAGCAAGACCCTGTCTCAAAATAACATAAAATCAAATTTTCAGATTTTAGTAATAGAACATTTATCTGTTCTTTTCTTTATGCAGGAATCTATTCTTCAATTTTTACTTTAGGCTGGTTGATTTGCATTGTTGCAGTTACCTGAGATATCAGACTTAGAGGTAGTGTTTCCATGGTTATCTAATCCTGTGGAATCCAGGTCGTGTTAGTGAAAATTTACCAGGACTCTTTATAATGAATGGGTAGTTTTAGTGCTTGCAGATCATCACATTAAGAAATCTGCTCGTGCCTGTAACCCAGCTGCTTGAGAGACAGAGGCTCAATTTTTAAAAGCTTCTCCTATATAACTTACTGTATTTTCTAAAAAACAGAATAGAACAATAAGCTTCTCCTAGTGATTCTAATGGGCAGCCAAGATTGAGAACTGCTTTAAAACCATTTCAGAACCAGCTGTTCTATATATCCTTTTATTTATAAGGAGTACTATTCCAGTTATCTTGTCTTCAATATATCTATATATGTCAAACTATTTCACAAATAATATATGGTAGCCATTTGTTTTAGAAAACTGTTAATATAAATGACCAAGGTCTGGCTTCTCAGCAATATTTCTTTATAGTACAGGAAAAAAAATCAGCACCCCTCTTTTTCATGTGTAAAAGACATATATGCTATTTCATGTCAGCTGACCAAGTTAAAACTATACTGTTTTTCTCCTATGTGAGGGTAGGGTGATAAGACGTGGTGTCTTTAGTTTGGTATACTTGCATCATTCTATTAATAGCTGAAAAGGAATCTTTTTACCATTTGGTTTCAAAATAGACTTATTCTGAAAAAAGTATAAAATAAAATTTTAAAAGTATAAAATAAATGGTTAAATTATATCTTTTATTCGTATATGATTTGTGAATTATTTTTTCTCTGCTGATGAAGAGGGAAATTTTTTTGTTACAGTCAACATTTTTATGTTTTTATGATTAAAATAGTCATCTAGTTTGAGACTTTTTTTTTTTTTTTTTTTTTTTTTTTTTTTTTGAGACAGAGTCTCGCTTTGTTGTCCAGGCTAGAGTGAGTGCCGTGGCGTCAGGCTAGCTCACAGCAACCTCAAACTCCTGGGCTCGAGCGATCCTTCTGCCTCAGCCTCCCGAGTAGCTGGGACTACAGGCATGCATCACCATGCCCGGCTAATTTTTTATATACATATCAGTTGGCCAATTAATTTCTTTCTATTTATAGTAGAGACGGGGTCTCGCTCTTGCTCAGGCTGGTTTTGAACTCCTGACCTTGAGCAATCCACCCGCCTTGGCCTCCCAGAGAGCTAGGATTACAGGCGTGAGCCACCACGCCCGGCCTAGTTTGAGACATTTTAAGGAGATTTAGAGGTACTGTTTTTTTCTAAGAGAACCTCAAATATATCATCAGGTAAGTGACCATTAATAACATTCATTTAGTATGTACCAAGCATCTACTATGTGTTTTGGTTTCTTTAGCAAGAAGAGAAATAGAAACCTATGAATTATATCTTGTAGAAACGTTCATCTTGCTGTCACAGACTTAGGGCAAGACTTGGCTCACCATTAGCTCAGGAGAGCTGAGTGAGTGTATACCCCTCTTCCCAGCCCTGCATTCAGTGTCATGTGGGTTGTTTGAAATTGACCATGGTGGGAGTATTTATGCCTTGGAAATTGGCAAATGCTATAATCAGGGGAAAGCAAAGACAGCAATTTGCTAACTAACTATTACGTGCCAGACATTTTATATATATAAGAAGAAAGGGAATTATATCAGAATGTCACATTGAATGGTTTTCGGTTGGCAAGCCAAATGTCACTGACAAGAGAAAATAGCACTTACGCCTTTTTAACTTCCAGGATTGTGTTTTAAGAGGACAGTGTTAAAATAACAAGTAAAGAACTTCTCCACATCCCTCAAAAAGTCATATTTCAGACATCCATAAGGTTGTGAAAAGCATTATTAGCAAATGCTTCCATAGAAGTTGCTTTTATCTTCGTTAAATAAGTGTAATTAATACCTCTTTAAATACCTTAGTTTTTGTTCTTGTCCCTTTAGGAGGCTTGGGAACAGAAAGAAGATGATGACCTTAAAAGAGCTACGGAGTTAAGTCTTCAAGGTTTGGAGATCATTTTAATTACATTTTTTTAATGGTGAAATGTATCACACAGGCTGTGCATGGTGGCTCATGCCTGTAATTCTAGCACCCTGGAAGACCAAGGTGAGAGCATCCCTTGAGGTTAGGAGTTTGAAACCAGCCTGAGCAAAAGCAAGACCCTGGCTCTACTAAAAATAGAAAAAATTAGCCAGGCATGGTAGTGCCTGCCTATAGGCCCAGCTGAGACAAGAGAATGGCTTGAGCCTATGAATTTAAGGCTACAGTGAGCTATGATCATGTCACTGCATTCTAGTCAGGTCAATAGAGCAAAACTGTCTCAAAAAAAAAAAAACACATGTTAAAATTAAAATTTTTAATAACGAGAAATTTGAACACCTCCCAGGTAAAAAAAGTAGAACCTTAGACGTTTCCTATGTATCTTCTTTCCCCCTGCTTCCCAGAGGAAACCACTATTCTAACATTTTTATTTATCTTTAGCTTGCTTTTTTTTTTTTTTATTTCGGCATATTATGGGGGTACAGATTTTAAGGTTTCAATAAATGCCCATTTCCCCCCTCCCCCCAAAAGTCTGAGTCTCCATCATGATCATCTCCCAGATGGTGCACATCTTACTCATTATGTATGTATATACCTGCCCCCCTCCCACCTGCCCAATACCCTATTACTGTAGTACCTATGTGTCCACTTAGGTGCTACTCAGTTAATACCAGTTTGCTGGAGAATATATCTGGTGTTTGTTTTTCCATTCTTGGGATACTTCACTTAGTAGTATGGGTTCCAGCTCTAACCAGGAAAATATAAGATGTGCTATATCACCATTGTTTCTTAGAGCTGAATAGTACTCCATGGTATACATATACCACATTTTATTAATCCATTCTTGGATTGATGGGCACTTGAGCTGTTTCCACAGCCTTGCAATTATGAATTGTGCTGCTATAAACATTCGAGTGCAGGTGTCTTTTTTGTAGAGTGTCATTGGATCATTTGGGTAGATGCCCAGCAATGGGATTGCTGGATCAAATGGTAGATTCACTTGTATCTCTTTAAGGTATCTCCATATTGCTTTCCACAGAGGTTGAACTAGTTTGCAGTCCCACCAGCAGTGTAGGAGTGTTCCTCTCTCTCTGCAACCACGCCAGCATTTATTGTTTGGAGATTTTTTGATAAAGGCCATTCTCACTGGGGTTAAGTGATATCTCATTGTGGTTTTGATTTGCATTTCCCTGATGATTAGAGATGTTGAGCATTTTTTCATATGTTTGTTGGCCATTCTTCTGTCTTCTTTAGAAAAATTTCTGTTCAAGTCTTTTGCCCACTTTATAATGGGCAAAATGGGGTTATTTGATTTTTTCTTCCTGATTTTCGTGAGTTCTAAGTATATTCTAGTTATCAGTCCCTTATCGGATGCATAGGATGCAAAAATTTTCTCCCATTCTGTAGGTTGTCTGTTTACTTTCATGACTATTTCTTTGGCTGTGCAGAAGCTTTGTAGTTTGATCATGTCCCATTTATTTATTTTTGTTGCTGCTGTGATTGCCTTTGGGGACTTCTTCATGAACTCTTTGCCCAGGCCGATGTCTAGGAGAGTGTTTCCAACTTCTTCCTCTAGAGTTCTAATAGTTTCATACCTTAGGTTTAAGTCTGTTATCCAGCGTGAGTTGGTTTTTGTGAGAGGTGAAAGGTGTGGGTCCTGTTTTAGCCTTCTACAGGTGGCTATCCAGTTTTCCCAGCATCATTTATTGAAAAGGGATTCTTTTCCCCAGCGTATGTTTTTGTCTGCTTTGTCAAAGATTAGATGGCTATATGAGGATGGTTTTATATCAGGATTCTCACATCTGTTCCACTGGTCAATATTCCTATTTTTGTGCCAATACCATATTGATTTAATTACTACAGCTTTGTAGTATAGTTTGATATCTGGCATATTAATGCCTCCCATTTTGTTTTTGTTGCCTAGAATTGCTCTTGATATTTGGGGTCTTCTTTGGTTCCATACGAAGCGTAAAATTATTTTTTCTATATCTGTGAAGAATGCTGATGGGATTTTAATAGGTATTGCATTGAATCTGTAGATCAGTTTGGGTAGTATAGACATTTTGATGATATTGAGTCTGCCGATCCACGTTTAGCTTGCTTTTTAAAATGATTTTATCTATATCCTTAACAATATATTTTTAATTTTGAAAAATTAAACAAGAAAAGTCTATCTGTTTAATAAAAGAGTAATATTACCACTGTTAAAACTCCTAGGAGAACATAATGTGGCTTTAGTTTCCCCATGAATTTTCAAGAGCTCACTCTGGGGAAGTCTGTGGTCAAAATCATGAGTGTGTATTAAGTACATAAAGTTCACACAGTCAAGGCATTTGTCAGAACTAATGTGTAAACTAGATACTGGAAGTCCATAGAGATAGGAAGTTGGAAGAAGTGGATGTAGGAGTCATGTGTTATGTCTTTTGGATATTGAGTGATGTTAATTGGATGGGTTCTCAACTTTTCCATTGCTGGCTTAGGATATAGCTTTGAGTTTCTTAGGTCTACTGAGTCAGCCACCCATGTATTTCCAGTTTCCAGAATTTTAATGCAATAATTAGTCTCTTACTTTTCTTTCCATTCATAGATATTCATGTCTTTTAAACACCACTATACTATGATTTTAGTGGAGCTAATTATCTTTTAAAACAAATAGCTATTTATTTACAAATGCTCCTGGGATTCTTTATTTTAAATCATTAGTAAAGATGGATTCTTCCAATGGAAACACATTATTTAAGAAAAGATAGATCTTGGATTTGTTTGTTTAGTGTATATTAGGTTAAATTTAAGAGTTAAAGTTTGAGTTTCCTTTATTTTTTGTTATATTTCAAGAAATGATTTAATAATAAAGAAAACAAAAGAATACTAATCTTTTTATGGTCTCTTTTCTGTGAGGATAATTTATATTTACTAGTGGAACCTATAATAGGTACCAAATACTTTTTTTTTTTTTTTTGAGACAGAGTGTTACTTTGTTGCCCAGGCTACAGTGAATGTTGTGGCATCAGCCTAGCTCACAGCAACCTCAGACTCCTGGGCTCAAGTGATCCTACTGCCTCAGCCTCCCGAGTAGCTGGGATTACAGGCATACACCACCATGCCCAGCTAATTTTTTTATATATATTAGTTGTCTAATTAATTTATTTCTATTTATAGTAGAGACAGGGTCTCGCTCTTGCCCAGGCTGGTTTCGAACTCCTGACCTCAAGCAATCTGCCTGTCTCAGCCTCCCTGAGTGCTAGGATTACAGGCATGAGCCACCGTGCTCGCCCCCCTCCTTTTTTTTTTTTTGAGACAGTCTCACTGTTGACCAGGCTAGAGTGTCATGACATCAGCCTAGCTCACAGCAACCTCAAACTCCTGGGCTCAAGCAATCCTGCTGCCTCAGCCTCCCAAGTAGCTGGGACTACAGGCATGCGCCACCATGCCCTGCTAATATTTTATATGTATTTTTAGTTGGCCAATTAATTTCTTTCTATTTTTAGTAGAGATGGGGTCTCACTCTTGCTCAGGCAGGTCTCGAATTCCTGAGCTCAAACGATCCACCCACCTCAGCCTCCCAGAGTGCTAGGATTACAGGTGTGAGCCACCTCGTCTGGCATGCACCAAATACTTTAAATCTATCACATAGTTTATGTGATACAGAACTTAGTGCAATTAGATTATTAGATTTTATTATTATAAAATTATATATTTTCTCAATTTTATTCCTTATAAGGCTTAGATCCCCTTATATATTTAAAAGAAAAAGGAACATTTATTTTACAGATACATATGTCTACAGTGTTATTCCCCAGAGTAGGCTGAACACATTGGAAACATAATAATAATACATTTTGTGTTTTCTTAGGCTGATAAAATATGTACCTCAAGCTATTTTATCTTACTAATTATATCTCTTATGTCTATTCCAAGAACTTTTATAAGATTTTGTCATTGTGTTTTCAGAGTTTAACAACTCTTTTGTGGATGCACTGGGTTCTGATGAGGACTCTGGAAATGAGGATGTTTTTGATATGGAATACACAGAAGCTGAGGCTGAAGAACTGAAAAGAAACGCTGAGGTAATTTTTTACCCCTGGGTAGAATCAGTCAGATTATCAGTGGTACTCCTCCTGCTCTTTATCTTTAAAGGCCCCACTTTCAATGTCCATTGCAGGTTCATTTCTGCCTGTTTGGCAGCCATTAAATGGTCTTCATTTTCTCTTGTTATTTTCTCTTCATTTCTTACATATAAGATTCAAAACAAAACAGGAGCCAGGCACAGTGGCTCATGCCTGTAATCCCAAAAGTTTAGGAGGCTGAGACTAGGGGATTGTTTGAGGCCAGGAGTCGAGACCAACCTGGGCAACATAGTGAGACCTTATCTCTAAACAAAATTTTTTTTAATTAGCCAGCTGTTGTGGTACATGCCTATAGTCCCAACTACTCCTAGCTACTTGGGAGACTGAGAAAGGAGTTTTGCTGGAGCTGCAGTGAGGTATGATGAGATGCCACTGCTACTCTAGCCAGGGTAATAGTGTGAACTCCATCTCAAAGAAAAGGTGGAGGAGGGCTTTATCCCCCACTCCAACTACCTGGAGTAAAAAATGAAAAAATTTTTTAAAAATAGAACAAAACAAAATAAAAACAGAAATGCATCCTGTCATGTTGTATACATGTTAGATAAGAATTGTATAAAGGCATGTGTATATTAAATTACCTTTAGTTCCACTAAGTAACTATATTATCTTTATACTTAAATACCAAAACCAGTTGTTTGTTGCTCAGTGAGAACTGTTGAATTAATGTAAACTAGGGCACATTGGAATTTTTTAAACCTTTTTTTCCTTAAATAATTGCTTTCCCCCCACCCAAATTTTAATTATCCAGGATCCTATACTTACTGTTAGCATTTTGACTTATTTTGTCATACTCATCTCCTCATATGCTTTAAAAAAGTCATAATATAAGTACAATTTTTACCCTATTTGGGTTTTTTTTTTCTTTGGGGGGTTTTTATTTTGTTTTATTTTTAGAGTTGGGTGTCTCACCATGTTGCCCAGGCTGAACTTGAAGTCCTGGGCTCAAGGATCCTCTCACCTCAGCCTTTCAAGTAGCTGGGACCACAGATGCATGCCACCACATCCAGCTTATCCTGATGGTTAAAGACTAATTATTTAGGTCGGGTGCTGTGGCTCACGCCTATAACCCTGGCACTCTGGGAGGCCAAGGCAGCTAGATCGTTTCAGCTCAAGAGTTCAGGACCAGCCTGAGGAAGAGCAAGACCCCGTCTCTACTAAAAATAGAAAGAAATTAACTGGACAACTAAAAATATATAGAAAAAATTATCCAGGCATGGTGGGGCATGCCTGTAGTCCCAGCTACAGGCTGAGGCAGAAGGATAGCTTGAGCCAAGGAGTTTGAGTTTGCTGTGAGCTAGGCTGATGCCATGGCACTCTAGGCCAGGCAACAGAGTGAGACTCTGTCTAAAAAAAAAAAAAAACGATTATTTATAGGCATATTTTTTTTTCTTTTATCTGTAACATCAGAGATAAAGGTGTTATCTTTTTTTTTTTTTTTTTTTTGAGACAGAGTGTCACTTTGTTGCCCAGGCTAGAGTGAGTGCCGGGGCATCAGGCTAGCTCACAGCAACCTCAAACTCCTGGGCTCAAGCAATCCTCCTGCCTCAGCCTCCCAGGTAGCTGGGACTACAGGCATGCACCACCATGCCCAGCTAATTTTTTCTATATATATATTAGTTGGCCAATTAATTTCTTTCTATTTATAGTAGAGACGGGGTCTCGCTCTTGCTCAGGTTGGTTTTGAACTCCTGAGCTCAAAGGATCCGCCTGCCTCGGCCTCACAGAGAGCTATGATTACAGGCGTGAGCCACCGTGCCCGGCCAGAATGTTATTTTTAATGGCTATACTATCATTTCCTCAAATGAACATCCAACTTACTTAATTTTTTTTTTTTTTTTTTTTTTTGAGACAGAGTGTCACTTTGTTGCCCAGGCTAGAGTGAGTACCGTGGCATCAGCCTAGCACACAGCAACCTCAAACTCCTGGGCTCAAGCAATCCTCCTGCCTCAGCCTCCCAAGTAGCTGGGACAACAGGCATGCGCCATGATGCCCGGCTCAATTTTTCTATATATATTAGTTGGCCAATTAATTTCTTTCTATTTTTAGTAGAGACAGGGTCTGGCTCTTGCTCAGGCTGGTTTCGAACTCCTACCTCGAGCAATCCGCCTGCCTCGGCTTCCCAGAGTGCTAGAATTATAGGCATGAGCCACTGCGCTCGGCCCCTTAATTTTTAACTAACATTGAACATTTTTTTAAGTTGTTTCTATTTTTTCAATAATAAATAATACATTGAGAAACTGTGTATGATTATACTATTTTCCATATTTTGGGTTTTCTCCTTTAGATAAATAGCCAGAAGTAGATAATGCTTCAAAAGTTTATGAACATTTTAATAGTTTCTGGTTTACATATAGCTATATTCCTTTCCAAAATTTTACTTTATAGTGCTGCCTACATTTTATGAATATCACTTTTCAGTTTTTTTTTTTTACTAACAATATTTTAGTGGCATTTTAAAAGTTCATTTGTAAGCAACACAGCAACTCTTTTTCATTCTATTGTCCAATACTTAACTGTTAACTATTTTTACAAAGCTATAGTTATTATGTGCATTCTTGTGTGTTTGAAAATCAAGTTAATATGTTGCTGATCCACATCAATTTCTTTAATATAATAATTGAATGATATTGCATTGAACTGATATACCACTAACCAGACAATTATTACTGGGTATATTGTTCTGACTTTTCAGTAGATAATGCTATAGTCTATAATTTGATACATACGCTGGTTTTTTTCCTTTGAATTATTTTCTTAGGGTAAATTCTTAGTTGGGGTGGAAGTCTTAGGTCAGAGGGTATCGACATTACAACCACTAGATTTTTTTTTTAATTAATTGAGTATGCCTACACCATACACTGGAGCTTACTATGTCAGCTTTGATAATAAATTTAAATTCAGTGTTCTGCTTTTATTCAAATGAAGAGTTATGTCCACTTCTGTTTTCCAGACAGGAAATCTTCCTCATTCCTATCGGCTCATCAGTGTTGTCAGTCACATTGGTAGCACTTCTTCTTCAGGTAAATGGACATCATGATTTCAGCATTTTATAAATGAAGTAGCCAGCATTTGCTCCTTATTATATTGCTCTTTGACTGACTTTAGGAGGTATAAGATGAATATGTCAAGAAAAAAACTTTTAAATCTCTTTTTGATCACATTCAATTTGCATTGTGGGGAGGAGGGGGACAGACATGCTTGAAGCTCTGACTTAGGTAGGGCAAGGGCAATATATGTAACCTAAACATTTGTACCCCCATAATATGCTGAAACAAAAAAGAAAAAAAATATGAATTGTGTAAATAGATATAACTGTTTTTATTTCTCTATTCATAAATGACCTAAATTCCCCGAGTGAAATATATTTATCAAAAATGGTGTCCATCCGGGCTCTGTGGTTCATGCCTGTAATCCTAGCACTCTGGGAGGCTGAGGTGGGCGGATCGTTTGAGCTCAGGAGTTTGAGACCACCCTGAGCAATTAGCTGGACAACTTAAAATATATAGAAAAATTCCGCCAGGCACAATGGCTCATGCCTGTAATCCAAACACTCTCGGAGGCCGAGGCAGGCAGATTACTGGAGGTTAGGAGTTCGAAACTAGCCTGAGCAAGAGCAAGACCCTGTCTCTACTATAAATAGAAATAAATTAATTGGACAACTAATACATATAGAAAAAATGAGCCAGGCATGGTGGCACATGCCTGTAGTCCAGCTACTTGGGAGGCCTAAACCCTGGAGTTTGAGGTTGCTGTGAACTAGGCTGAAGCCATGGCACTCTAGCCCAGGCAACAGAGTGAGACTCTGTCTCAAAAGAAAAAGAAAAAAAAAGCGGTGTCCCAGTATAGTATATTCCTCCCTAATTCTCTGTGTGTGTTTTTAGAAACATTGTTGGGGGTAAGATGGATGTGGTAGCTGTTTCTCTTTCTCAGATTTCTTGTACCTGAGAAAAATTCAGTATGTTTTTAAAAACCTCCAGTTTTAAAATTTTGTTACAGGTCATTACATTAGTGATGTGTATGACATTAAGAAACAGGCATGGTTTACTTATAATGATCTGGAGGTATCTAAAATCCAAGAGGCTGCTGTGCAGAGTGACCGGGATCGGAGTGGTTACATCTTCTTTTATATGCACAAGTAAGAAACTTTGCCAGATTCAAAATAATGGGTGAAAAATCACCTGAACTCTTTCTTTTTCCTTTGAGGGTAAAATGTTCCAAGTCCAGAATATTTTTTCTCTTAACTCAGCATTAGTAACTCATCACACACTAGTATCTAAGTATGGAACTTAAGACAGTTTGTTTTATGATAGAAGCTGTGCTGTCACAACCTTTTTTTTCCAATTTTATTAGCTAGAAGATCTGATTTATACGGATGGGAACTACATAGCATTTTCATTAAAGCTAACTATTGCCAGTTCCCCGCTATTCTCAAAAATCAGCACCCAAGGGGTTAAGATGGTGATCAGATGAATGAGCTGTTAATTTAATAAAATGTAGGCACCAAATAGGATTATGCAGGCTTTATCAGCATCTATTTTCTGTTGCTTTTTATCCTGTTTATCCTTTGGTTCTGCTCACTAAATTTCCTGGGGGTCTTTTTGTTTTATTTTAAGAGAGATCTTTGATGAGCTGCTGGAAACAGAAAAGAACTCTCAGGCACTTAGCATCGAAGCAGGGAAGACTACCCGTCAGGCCTCGTGAGGAACAAACTCCTGGGATGGCAATTGTGCACTGCGTATTCTCTCTTACTGCCGCCCACACCTTTCCTCTGCCCAAGGAGAATTTGGAATTCTACTTGATGCGGGAGCAACAAACAGCTCAGGGCCAAACCAGAAGACTAAAATTGGAGTTATACAGAATGCTCCATGCTATTTTATGGATACTTGGGTCTCACATTTGTAGCTGATTATTCTCTTTTTCGCCTACAAGAGTGGCACTTCCTTTTGTCTTATGAATACATGTTGTAAATATATAAATATATATGTACATACACACACACAGGATGAATGGAGCCTTAAAGAGTTAGGATGAGCCACAAGAGTATGCCTGCTCCTAATTTATAGCACAGCAGTTTGGAGAAAAAGAAAAGGTGTTAAAGAGTCCATTCACCTGAGAAATGTGTGAAGATATACCCATCAGTTGGCTTTTAGCTTTATGTTTCTTGCATAGTTTCCTCAAGTCTGCAACCTTTCATGTGTGTTTCTTATTAGTAAAGTTCACTGGAAAGCAGCTCTCCATGTTACACTAATGACAGTTTGTTCTCCTTGCAAGAGGAGGGGTATTACTGTCACCTGACTTGATGAGCTTTTTTTTTTTTTTTTAATTTCATGCATTTGTAATATCTTTTACTGTTTACATGTAGTCCCAAGAAATGGATTGTTGGTGCTTTGGAATGTATGTGGTCCCACATTTAATATTCATTGTATATTTTGTGTTTTCTCTAAAGAAATTTCTTCACACAGTATGTTCATTATATATCATTTATATTATTACGGAGATGAAGATAGAATCTTTTATTTTTTTCTGTATCATTCTTCCATGGAGCAGCATTACCCTAATGGATTGCACCCAAAACTTTAAGAGGGAGAAAAATAATCTCTCCAATTGGGACTCCCCAGCAGGAATACTTAGGGATAAAGAAGAATGCTAGCATCTCTGTCTCTCAAACATAGGACAAGAGAAGCATTCTTCTGTTAAAGCTAAAATTCTGGACCACTAAAGCTAAAAGCCCTACCACAAGTGTGAAAATTAAAGTAAGGTGGGAATTAAAATGTGATTGGTTTAGGGTATCCCAAGAACTAAGAAATAACAAAGGTGCATAATATATTTATCTTACTTTTTAGGTGCTCAGAGTTGAGGTTAAATGGGGATGCAACATCAAGTGCTACATTAGTCACTTAGCTGACATAACCAGCTTGGTTAAGCAGCTTATGAAACCATATAAAGAATGAGTCTAAGGGTGGAATTCTGTCCACAAAATAATTTTGTGGGCCTGGGTATCATTTGGATCGTACAGAGTTAAGTATAGCAAAATGAAACCTTCATTATTTTTTCTCATGTTTTTTCTTTTATTATAAATGAGGGGATTATTCTTCAGTTCTGAGGGAGGGACAAAAACCATATCAGATTTTCAGGAAGAAAAAGTAATTTAAAACCTATCATCACAGAAGATAGAACATCTTTTCTAGAAGATTGCCTTAAGAGAACTCCAGCCTCACTCTTGGAACTTGGATGTGTTCTGACATAGTAATTATTCTAAAATTTTGAATCTTTGAATTATAAATGGACTCAGCACTTTTGCTTAACTACTGACAAGTGCTTTGCTTCCTGTCACCTGCCTACGTACATTATGGTAGTGAATGTTCCAAAGTGGAGTAGTAGGATATGTAGGAGTAGTTTAGTGCAGAGGGAAATATTTGTTTTCAAAACTGGCTTTTAAAGTTTTGTTTCATTTCTACCAGGAGCCTCATTTGGTTTTGTTTTGCTTGAAAATAACTGGTTTTATCATAAATGAGTGAAATGGTGATCAAATTTTTTGGCTAGTTATTACTTCTCTTACCTATCTGTATAGTTGAGAGCTTTGAGGGGCACTGTTAAAAATTACTGGAAACTATTTGAAGTGAGGGCTGCATTAAGACATAGAGAAATATAGAAATAGTGCCCTAAGCCTAGACTGCCTCATGAAGTGGCCTCATTTGAATTGCTTTCATAGCTTGCTACGTGTGTATGATTTAGAAGTACACTTGGCTTAGAAACATGGTTTGATCTTCATGTCTTGAGCAGTACTTATTAGTTGAAGATAGGTTACTAGAGTTATCTCACTGCTCATGTACTTACAAGTTTGGGACTTGAATTTCACTTGATGTCTGTCCATCATTGTGGCCTTGTCAGCCTTATTCCTTCACTCTTTTACTACTTTGACTACAAATGGAGATTTCAGCTGGACAATGTTGATGGGGTTTATTCGGGTTTTTTTGAGCTGGTTATATATATTTAAAAATTATAAATAGATAATATATTATTTTTTTGCACAGTGTGATCAGTTTGCCCAGAATCGGGGGATGGAGCAGTTAGCCTGTTGGGGCCAGGAAGGGACAAGTGAGATTGGGAGACAGAGTGCTTCAGTTCCAAGCAGTCTGTACAGTACTTAATTAACCTTCCTATTGAGAATACCAAATGTATGGTTACATTACTTTAAATGATAATTGAATTGGAACTTGATATTAATTAGTTCTGGTTACAGCCTTTTGATCTTAGTTGGAATTTTTTAGAAGGCAAAAATAAAACTAAATTTCAAACTCATTGATTGTTATCCCCTAGTATTATGCAGAGTCCAGAAGTTGCATGTGGCTGGATGCTATTATTCCCTTAGAAGCCATGACTATAATTTAGCCCTATGAGAAGATAGACTCTGTTTCATAGGAATATATTTATATGTGTGTGTGCACACTCAGAAGTTTTGTTTCAGCAAGATAGAATAAGAAGCAAGTTCATGAATTGGTCTTCTATTTATATTTTGATTCCAAAAGCTATTTGTTTACTTGCTATGGTCTGTTAATTCCAGGCCTAACTTAAAAGGCTCAGTAACAAATATAACAAATGTAAACGTGTTTACATTTTAAGTATGCAGTGGTACTTACAGATCAGTTAATTAACTCTGGAAGGCAAATATTAGACTACACATTTCTTTTTTTCTCTCTTTGATCAAATGTAAAGAGTCTTCTGAAAGAGAGGCTTTAAAATGCAAAACCTCAGCAAAATAATCCATGAATTTACTTATTCTTGCACACTGCAGTTACCATTATGTAACTACATGTACAGCTACAGATATAGTTGTATAATGAATATTATCTGGAAACACCTAAATTAAAGAGAAAAACAGGTAGTTTGTAAACTCTTGATCTCCTGAAAAGAGGTTATATTAAAACAAATAAAAATATTATCCTTCTCCCTCTTTCTTCTCTGTCTTCTGAAATGATTACAATGGGTACTCTTAGCTATCCAACTTTGGGGGGAAGGGGCTGTGTCTTATTGAATTGACCCCCCTAAAGTCTTTTGCTTTAAATTAGGGAAACAGAGCTAGATCTCCAAGTACATGTGGCTCTTGTATATATAGGGAGATTTTTTAGAAAACTCATCAATCTGGTACTAGACGCAAGTCACATAGAAGTGTCCCAGTAAAATGGATATGTCCTTTTCCTCCCCATTTTGCTCTTCACTGAGCAAGTGTGTACAAAAACTAAACAGATTTCTGCCCTCTAACACCTTTCTATTACATTACTTCAGAATTCTAATTTTGTCTCTATTGATATGTCTTATTAACATCTGGAAAAATATATATATTTTATTGGAAAACTATAGTTTGTTAAGCCTTGAGAGTTTTGTGGCAGAATTATTTGGCTGTGTTTCATCAGTCATTGACTACCTTATGGCATGCTTTGATTACTAGACTTCAGGCAGTCTCTTTTGTTGTATCATATTTATACACAATTAGTAAATTGTTTCCTTTCCATGCCTGTTATATGTCTGAGGTTTTGCAGTTTTTATTAAAAAGTATGCCAGTCTAAGCATTTGATTTGAGTAACATTAGACTTAAAAGTACAGAGGTTCAAAGTATAGGTATGTCCACTGGTATAAGAATAGAGTGAAAGAGGAGGGTCTGATCAGGATCCAAGTTTGTCAGGTCGGTTACCAGAGCAAAGAGCAATCAGCTGAACTGGTTTACTTCAAAAACAGAGTGGGCCTGTGCAAAGAGTGAGACCACATGTGGGTGTGCACACTTCTTTTCCCCAGGTTTCCCTCCCTCTGAGCTTTTTCCTTCCCTCACTTCTCTGGCCTATTGTCAGTGTTGTTTCTTTATGCTTAGGGAGAGGAAAACAGAAGTGAGTTTCCTACACTTTGCCTAACTGAGCCACTACCAGGTTTGCTGGCAGCTGTGGCCACATTATTTGTGAGGTGATTTTTTTTGTTTGTGTTCAGAGTGACTTTTGATTCTGATTCTTTATGTTGTTTTATATGGAGTGGCACTTTTATCTGTGTTTTAGCAGAATTGTTCCTCTGTATCCTTTACGATTTTTCCTTTCGTTTCCTTTTTAAATTATGCATAGAGTTTTTTTGTGTGTGTGAAATTAAAGCCTTTATTAACCTTATGTTGGTTTGACTGTTATTTTTGAGAAGAACACATTTTTGCAGACACTTTTAACAACCAGTTTCAAGTTGTGGAAATCACCTTCTTTTGCTTTTCTGACTTGGGCTTCATTGCAGTACTGTTACATCTTAAAGGAGATGGAATGTCGAACCAGTGTTTGGCCATAGTCACCACTGGTTCCTGTTATTTTCATCTGAGGAGCCTGGGAAGCTTTGCAGAGGCTTCTGTATAACAGTTTGTAAACCCAGCATTGGTCTTCACTCTTCCTTTGCTTTATTAAGAGTGGGGGTGAAGGGTGAAATAGCATTTGCATTTCATACTTGCCTTTAGCTTAGACACAGTGGATGTGCTGCTCTCACTGGGTACTACTTAGTGAGTATTGTGAAACCTAAGCAAGAGGACAGTCTCCTAGGCTGTTCAACTCTCCTTCAGCCCTTTAACTTACCACCTGAGTAAGGCAGTGAAGAAAGTATATGTGAAAAGGAAAAGCCTTTACTCTGGGAAAGATGTAAACCTGCAAAATGTTTCAGCCCTCTTGCCATAGATGAAAATGAGTCATGGTAGAGGAAAACCTGGCCTGGCGCCTCAACTCTTACGTTCCATGAAGTGTTTGGCTGCTCTTCTAAGAAGGGAAAACTCTAGAACAGGATGATTAAAAATGATGAAACACCTCAAGATAGAAACAATCCAGCCACCTTTTTGAGAGCTGAAATTGGGACCACAGGCTCCTTGTGGAGGTATCATCTTTCTGAAGGAATAGGTGGATTATTAAAAGTCGCATTGCCAGAGACAGCTGTTCACAGGCACAACTAAAATTTCACTTCAATTGGCATAGGTCTAATACCAGTTATAAAACAGAATGCCACAAGCCAGGAGGGGTAGAGTGCTGCTTTACAACCACAGCTACTCTTCCTTCTCAAAATAGTCCTTTTTCTTTCTTGAGGTTTTGTTGTTTCCATCGAGGCAGGGCAGAGAAGGCAGCTGGAGTCATCCCAAGGGCCTTTGTGAAATCTTCAACGGACAGATGCTCCTAGAAGAGGAGAGGGACCAGAGGGCAAAGGTCATGTTTTTTTTCAGGGTTTGCTCTGATGAGTCATACAGGTGTGGCATACAGTCAATGAAATGAAGAGTAAAAACTAGCAATGTCAGGAGAGCCAGGAAAGGGATTAGGGATGGGGAAGAGGGGGGTGTGGCATTTTGTGATTCCAGAGGTTTGATCCCTGAATTTGTAACATGATTAAAAAGGATGGTAACATGGTAAATTGAGTTTTGTTTTTGTTTTGAGACAGAGTCTCACTTTGTTGCCCAGGCTACAGTGAGTGCCGTGGAGTCAGCCTAGCTCACAGCAACCTCAAACTCCTGGACTCAAGCAATCCTGCTGCCTCAGCCTCCCAAGTATCTGGGACTACTGGCATGCGCCACCATGCCCGGCTAATTTTTTCTATATATATTAGTTGTCCAATTAATTTCTTTCTATTTATAGTAGAGACGGGGTCTCACTCTTGCTCAGGTTGGTTTCAAACTCCTGAACTCAAACAATCCGCCCGCCTCTGCCTCCCAGAGTGCTAGGATTACAGGCGTGAGCCACCACGCCTGGCCTAAATTGAGTTTTTCTTCCTACCAAGGTCAAGTTCACATTAGCCCTAAAATAAGAATTAGGTCATTTGACTTAGCTTATCAAGGTGTTGCTTCTCTTTCTAACTCTTAGTTTTGTTTTGTTTTGTTTGAGACAGAGTCTCGCTTTGTTTTCTCAGGCTAGAGTGAGTGCCGTGGTGTCAGCCTAGCTCACAGCAACCTCAAACTCCTGGGCTCAAGCAATCCTCCTGCCTCAGCCTCCCAGGTAGCTGGGACTACAGGCATGGGCCATCATGCCCGGCTAAGTTTTTCTATATATATTAGTTGGCCAATTAATTTCTTTCTGTTTATAGTTGAGACGGGGTCTCACTCTTGCTCAGGCTGGTTTCAAACTCCTGACCTCGAGCAATCCACCCACCTCAGCCTCCCAGAGTGCTAGGATTACAGGCGAAAGCCACCGCGCCCAGCTTAACCCTTAGTTTTCCTCTCTATAAAATGGAAAACATTTCTGTTTCCAATTTTTTTTGCTTTTATGAGTATGAAAATAATACTACATATGAAGGATATTGGAAACAAGGTACATTGTTCACCTCATACTATTTAAGGCAAACTACATACCCTCAAGGCCCCCTCATAAGTGCCCCAGATTAAAGCTGCCAATAAAACAACATCTCCCAGCCTTCATCTGCTTCCCCAAGCACCAAGAAGTGGGGACAGCAGAGGTGAAAGCAGTAGGTTTTTTTTAACAGCCGCTCTACTAAAGTATTTGCCCTGGGGAACGTTTTATTGACTCCCACAGAAAGCCCTGAATTGAACAGCTTCTTGGGAAACAGCTGTAGGTGGGTTTCAAGCTCAGAGGGGTCTGATGCTCCAGTTTTCTCTAAGGTGTCATTAGATTTTCCTCCCACCCCAGGCATTCTCTGCTCAAGCCTCCTGGGAGCTGGATGCTGGGAACGTTCCAGGCCGGGCAGTGGAAGGCCTTGTTTTGGAAGAAGAGAGTAAATATGAATGGTTTGGGCATCAGTGGGTGGGGAAGAACTGCCATACTCCAAGTGTGTTGCACCCTACCCCCAGGTTCATTACAGCTGTGGCTGCTGTGTCCTATGTCTCTTCAGGTGGCTCCAGGTGCCCTCTCTGGTCCAGCCAGGCTGGCTCCTCAACTTTGTCAAGACTGATGGACTCTGCCCCTCATGCTAGATAGCAGGGACTGCCCATCCCAGTGGACTTACATCTTTGCATTGGTCCTGTTCTTAAACCCTGTCATCCTGCCAGCTGATTACCAGCCTCACCCATGCCCGCATCCGCCTCCGTGTGGTTTACTCCCCAGTACTCAAACACTTAGATTACCCTCCTGCTGCTGCCTGCAGCCAGACCCACCGCTCCACTGTTGTCACTGGCTCACCTTCCAAGTTTGGAGCAGCCAGAGAGGCCTGAAAACCTCCTCTACCTTCCCCCCTTGGCACTGAATTCTCAGCTCTCCCAGAAGAATGTATGCTACTCTCAAGATAAAAAATCAGCAGCAGACAACTGATTTTTTAAAAAGAATCTAAGCCTTCTTTGACTTTTTCTACCATGGTGGGGCTGCCTTGTCAACCGAGTCTGTCTGTTCCATTCAAAATTAACAATCCATTTCAGCCTCCTGTTCAACAGCATTGGCTGCCCTTTGCTTTAGAAATAACTTCCTTTATGCCACACGACATGATGGTAACAGTGGGACTCAGAAGAGCTGGTTCTCGCTCTGGCTTTGCAACTAACTAGTTATGTGACATTAGGCAAGGACCTGTTTTCTCAGGTGTAGAACAGGCGATGATAGTAACAGCTTTCATTTGCAGAGTACCCTCTGTGTACCAGGAGCTGGGCTAAGCTCATCACTCATGCTGGGATCATCCCAATGTTAAAATGAAAACACATGGCCGGGCGCGGTGGCTCACGCCTGTAATCCTAGCTCTTGGGAGGCTGAGGCGGGCGGATTGCTCAAGGTCAGGAGTTCAAAACCAGCCTGAGCAAGAGCGAGACCCCGTCTCTACTATAAAATAGAAATAAATTAATTGGCCAACTGATATATATATATATAAAAAAAATTAGCCGGGCATAGTGGCGCATGCCTGTAGTCCCAGCTACTCGGGAGGCTGAGGCAGAAGGATCGCTCGAGCCCAGGAGTTTGAGGTTGCTGTGAGCTAGGCTGACGCCATGGCACTCACTCTAGCCTGGGCAACAAAGCGAGACTCTGTCTCAAAAAAAAAAAAAAAAAAAAATGAAAACACAGGTGTCTCCCAACCTTTCAGCCACCCCACAGTTGGAGGATCCAGGAGAGAATACATGCATGTGGTCTCCAAGGTAAAAGGCAGGATTGAAATGTTCTGAGAACAATACACTTATACGCAGAGCCCAAACCCTTACAGACTTTGATATTCTAGGATAAACTATATATCTCTCTTCTGCAGATTCCTTAGTGCATTTGTAAGACTTCTTTATGAATATACACAGAGTAAATTTTCTCTCCTCTCAACATCCCTAAGCTAGACTTGAAGTCTATTTTGGATCTTCACAAAGTGAGAATGAATATTAGAAAGTCCTTTTAACAAGTTCTTCCTGCCGTGCTGTCTCCCCATGTGATCCGCACAGGCCTTACACTGCAGTTACCAGATGGATTAATGTCTCTGCCCCGGTGTTCCTCTGAATTGCCACCCACCAAACATGTGTCTCAACCTGGATGTCTTCCAGGTGCCTCAAAGAAAGGATGTAGCTACTACTAAATTCATGATTGCCCCATCCCCAAGCTCAGTCTGACCCAGGGCTTTCTGTGTTGGACGATGACACTATTTTCCTCTCTCTCTCTCTTACACTCTTGATTCAGTAATTAACACGTGTCATTGATTTCACTTCCTATTTCCCTAAGCCATCTCCTTCTCTCCACCCTCTCCATCATGACCAAGTCTAGGTTCCCACCTGTCTCTCAGCCTGACAGCAGTAACACTTTCCTAACTGGTCTCCCTATGGCTGCTCTTGCCGCCTCCTAGTCTACCCTACAATGAGCAGCTCTAGTGATATTTTAAAATGTAAATCTGACTGTCAGTCCCCTGCTTCAACCATAATGCTACCCTTCGCTTTCAGGATAGACAGCAGGATCCTTTGCACGGGGTAGAAGGTACTGCCCAGCTCAGCCCTGCCTCCCTCCCAGCTTTCAATGCCGTGGCCACTCTGGCCACCTTACGGCTTCGCTCTACTGTGCTTATTCCCTGCCTCTGGCTTCACGTTTGCTGTCCCTTCTCCAGGAATAACTCACTTTGCCTCAGTAATCCCTATTTCCCTTTCAGAAGGAAATCTCTGACTAAATCAGGCTCTTCTCTGTAATATTCTTCTTGGCCCCTGTACTTCACCTCTCTGGCATTTATCAGCCCTGAAATTAAATGATAGTGTAATCAGGCTTCTCTGATCTCTCTCCCCAGGAATGTGAGCTGGCATGAAGGCGGGACCCAGTCTGTCTTGTTCACCAGGGAATCCTCAGCGCCTAATCACCTTCAGGGCCCAATCTAGGGGTCAACTAGGGTTGACCAACAAATGGACAAGCCACTCTTCTTTGTCCTCTTTCAACAGTCTGACCCACCTCCTTCCTGCTGGGGTCCACACCCTCAGGGAGCTCCTCCACAGGCTTGTTCACCAGCTGCTCCAGGGGGAAGATGGGCAGAGGCCCAGAATTGAGGTTGCTGTTGGCATTGAACACATCCAATTTGGGGCTTGTGACCTCCTAGAGAAGAAAAGGAAACCACTGGTCACTTTAGTTGGTATGTGGCTACCTCCCAGGCTGCCTTCCTCTCTGAAGTCAACATTGGTTCTCGGGCAACACCTTCAAGAAGCCTCCCATGACCCATCCCACCCCTCCACACACACCCACCCATAAGAACACAACGCACTGGGCGGGGGGACCCATAAGCTAATAGCTCAGTAATCTGTATCAGACCAAAGGCAGTTGGTGCAAAATGACTATTTTGTCAATGACTAATTGACTTCTTCATGGCTTCCCCCAGAGTTTGAGATCTAGCATGGATATTTATGATCCTCTCTCTTATCTGTTATGAAATTGTCATCCATAAATTCTCTTAGCCTTGACCTATCTATACTTGCCGATCTGCACTATCAGTCAGGGTTTATTGAGTGCCACTGGGTTCTAAACCATCTGTTGATTACCCCAATGTGTTGGTGAAACTGCTCTCAGGTTCTAGGTACATTTCTGCACAGTTAGCTTTGTCTTGTTTCCCCTGTAAACCTGTGAACTTCTCAAAGGAAAGGCTTTGATTTCATATTCCCATATCCCAGGCCTACAGGCCAAATACATTTCTGTTAACTCACTGCAAGATCGAAGGAGTTGTAATTATTCTCCCAAGGGTGACAGCATATAGAGAAATCATTATTTCTCAAATAAGTGTAGTCCATGGACTAACTATATCAAATTACCTGGACCTTTTATCTAAAACATGGAGATTCATCTACGGCCATACCACCCTGAACGTGCCCGATCTCGTCTGATCTTGGAAGCTAAGCAGGGTCGGGCCTGGTTAGTACTTGGATGGGAGACAAACATGCAGATTCCTGGGTGCTAACCCAAAGTCTGCAAACCAGAATCTTTGGGAATGGGGCCTTGGAATCCGCATTTCAATATGCTCCCCCCCATCACCCAGACTTGTATGCATGATAAAATTTCATGCATACAAGGGAAATAGAGGGAACACAACTGCTAGAGCCAATGGAGTTAAACAGCAAGAAGAGCTTCCATGAGAAGTAGGCAGAAATGGGGAGGAAAGCACAGGACACTGGCGTCCTCTCTAGAGCATTCTTGGCCACCCTGGCCCAGACTCACAGCGCTGATCTCGCTCCAGTCCGGAGAGTTGTTCAGCTCTGCCTTCAGGTCCTCATACGATTTGGTGTTCTGCGTATAAAGTAAATAACAGATTAAACCTGGGTCTCAGCAGAGGGGACAAAGGGCCATTTTCCCTCAGGAGTGGAAAGAAGGCTGCTCTGGAGCCTGGTGGTGAGAAGGAAAGAGGCAGCTCAGGCTGAGGCTGGAGGGGTTCCCTGAAAACAGAAGTCGGATGGTGAGGATGGGGACCCAAGGGGCTGCTAGATCGGAAGGGGCAGGGCAGGCTGTTTATTGGTCCCTGCTCAGCCTGGCATGGGGACCCGGTGGGCTCCTCCCTGAGCCTGGAGGGACCCCTGCTGCAGAGGAGTGAAGGGACCATGGCTCCCTGAGAAGCCCCATCTCCGTATTCCCAGGGCCCCCAGGGCCGGCACCGGGTGTGGCACACCAGGACTTCCGTTATGCTGAATGAATGAAGGAGGCTGAGACAGAAGCCAGTGCAGACTTGAGGTGAGGAAGGGGCTGCCAGGGTTACTGACTCGGGGTGCTGAAGCGGGCTGGGGAAGATCTGGCATCTAGATTTGCTGCCTTGACACTTGTTGGACTCCACCAGCCCATCAACCAAAGAATTAAAAAAAAAAAACAAACTCAGCTGTTGTGCCAATTCAGAGCACCTGGGAAATCAGGACAGGCTCAGTCAACCTCAGCATTTCTCCTTCCTGCAGAAAACCTTTCCTGCAGCTCATTTTAAGGACCCGCCCTCCGCTTCCCTCCGTGTTCGGGAAACATCTGTGGAAACCTGACTCATGGTCTCTCAGGTAAGGACTGCACATACGACCCATTTTGCTTAGAATTTAGTGCCTGGAAGCCATTTGTCCTTTAGAACGGACATATTTCCTTTCAGCTGGCGGGAGCCACTGGCACGGTCTCACAGGAGGTTGCTGCAGGGATGAAAACATCCCCCACCTGCGCTGTCCAACACAGTGGCCACAGGCCATGTGTGGCTGCAGAGCAATTACATTTTGGCTAGTGAGGAACTGAATTTCCATTTTGTTTAATTTTCAATAGTCAGTACAGCTCTAACAGTTTGGAGGTAAGTATACATACAAACACTGCAGTTAAGCCTTGGTTTTGTTTTTTTTTTTTTCTTTTTAGACAGAGTCTCCCTCTGTTGCCCGGACTAGAGTGCCGTGGCGTCAGCCTAGCTCACAGCAACCTCAGACTCCTGGGCTCAAGCGATCCTTCTGCCTCAGCCTCCCAAGTAGCTGGGACTACAGGCATGCGCCACCATGCCCGCCTAATTTTTTCTATATATGTTTAGTTGGCCAACTAATTTCTTTCTATTTTTTTAGTACAGTAGAATCTCACTCTTGCTCAGGCTGGTTTCAAACTCCTGACCTTGAGCAATCTGCTGGCCTCGGCCTCCCAGAGTGCTAGGATTACAGGCGGGCATGAGCCACCCGCCCGGCCTAGCCTTGGTTTTTGATAGACTTCTTCCCTCTCTCTCAACAGAGGGCGTCATGGTCTTACTGCAGCCTTTTTATTCTGAGCCCCCTGGTAACCCGTTTATAAATAAGCAAGTCAGATATCACAAAGGGATAAGAAAGGCCTGTGGGAGTCAGCCCTGCCTCCAGGAGTGTGCCACAGAGAAGCCACCAGGAGAAGGACATGCTGGGCTGGGACTACTCACACTCCACATGAAGGGATCCCAAGCTAGGAACCAGCCCGTGAAGGTGGGGGGCTCATGTCCCTGTTTCACCACAATGATGGGGGTCTCAGGGTCACGGCCACCAGGGTGCGTCTTGATGTATTCCTGCACAGTGGTGGCTGCGGCCTTCTTCTCCTCCTCATTGGCATGCTTCCCGATCCAGAAGAAAATCTGTCACATATCCCAGAAGCTCAGTCAGTCCTTCCTGTGCACCCCGGCCCACAGACCTCTGCCTCAGTTCATCCCAAATGTCCAACAGTGGAGCCCTGACCCTGCCACTACCCAATCAAATGACCCAGGACAGGCCCCAATGGCCTTGATTTTGCAGCTGGGAAATGAAGAGGTTGGACAGATGCCCTCTACTTGGATATTCTACAAATATGTGTGACTTCTAGTGTCTCCAGAGCCCAAGATTCTCTCTTTTTTTTAGAGACGGGCTCTCACTCTTGCTCAGGCTGGTCTTGAACTCCTGACCTCAAGTGATCCTCCCACCTCAGCCTCCCAGAGTCCTCGGATTACAGGCATGAACTACCATGCCCGGTGCAGAGCCCAAAATTCTCAAAATCACTCCTGCTGCCACATGAAATACATAGGACTTTCGGAGAGAAAAGTTCTGCCTGCCCCGTGGCTCCTCTGAGCACATTCCTCCCTACCTTCCTTCTTTTCCTTAGGTTTCCAGTGTTCATACCATTCCCAGGGAGACAGTACATGAAGGCCAAGAAAATGCTGACACTTACCTAACCCTAAAGCCACTCTTCCTTGGCCCTGGGGATTGAAGTGTATGAGGAGGAGTTCCCCAGGCCCTGCATCCTACCTGGTCCCAGACATCGAGCAGGAACACATCGTCCTCTTCCAAGTCATCCTGATTGAAGTCGGAGATCTCTGTGGCCAGGAAGCGCCCGGTCTGGTTGGAACATTCAAAGAGCCGGGGGGTGATGACCAGGTTTTCTTCCTGCAGTCTGCAGGATGGAGAAAAGATGGTGTCGGCAGGAGAAAGGTGAGGAGAGAGGAGAATTAAGGCCATAGAACTCTGAGCAGGAGACTCTGGCATAGAAAGGCCATCTCCTAGCAAATGCTTTGTCTTATGATTGACCAAAGGGTCCCCTTTTGTCCCAAGAGTGCTCTAAGGGAGAAATTCCCACTGCTTTTCTAGACATGCATTCCAGTTGCACTTCCATAGCTCTGTTAGGAAGTTCTTCCTGATATCTTTCCTCTATCCCTCTTGCTGCTACTGTAGCACTTACTCTTTTGCTTTTGAACTGGGGAATAGTGAATCATGGATATTCTTTAGAAAAATCATTTGAGGCCGGGCGCGGTGGCTCACGCCTGTAATCCTAGTACTCTGGGAGACTGAGGTGGGAGGATGGCTTGAGCTCAGGAGTTCAAGACCAGCCAGAGCAAGAGCGAGACCCTGTCTCTACTAAAAATAAAAAAACTTAGCCAGGCGTGGTGGCACATGCCTGTAGTCCCAGCTACTCGGGAGGCTGAGGCAAGAGGATTGCTTGAGTCCAGGAGTGTAGGTTGCTGTGAGCTGGGCTGATGCCACAGCACTCTAGCCGGGGCAACAGAGTGAGACTCTGTCTCAAAAAAAAAAAAAAAAAAAAGGAAAATCATTTGAAAGAGGTGGCTGGTGCTCCTCAGCAGTCCAAGTCTGTGTCAATACCTAAATGCAGGGACTGAGCTCTGGCACAGTCTTCCTGAAGAGCAAACCCATAGCCCTGTCCCTCTCTTTGAGCTGCCTCCTGTGGCTATGAACTCCCTTGCCAAGCAAACACCCCTCCAGGCCCTGGTATACCATGGTGAGCAGTACAGACACAACTCCTGTGCCAAGCAACGTTAAGGGCATGGGCTGCCTCTTGTTCATCTTGTAGCCAGCCCTGGGGACCTGGCACAGTGCTTGACACACAGAGTCCTCAATCCGTGCCTTCTGCAGGCTCTAGGTATGGAGGTGAAGATGCTGCAGCCTCTGAGGGGAGCTGGAGGCAGGGGGACCCGAGTCACCTCTTGGTGTTGGCATAGGGGGCCTTGCCGCCCAGGGCCATCCAGAAGTTGGCTGGCTCCTGCCCTTCCACCACCACTTGCTTCTCCGTCCGGGAAATGATGTCAGCAACCATCTTGGCCATCTCTCGCTCATCCCCACTACAGCCCTGGAAAAAAGGGGGGTCTGCCAAGCTGGGGGAGACCATTTCTGGTGCCATCCCACCCTCAGTCTTCTGCCACATTCGCTGCCCAAAGTTCCAGGGTCTGCAAGGACTCTCCTGGATCAGGACCCTGAGTACACAGCCAATGCAGGGACAGTTTTCCCGTCCTCTCCTGTCCTTGACACTCCAAAGAATAGCAGAGGAGACAAGGGAATCTGCACTACTCTTAGAGAGTGGGAGAAGGACTCCAAGAGGCTGTGAGTCCTCCTTACAGAGACAAAGGGAGAGGCAGTAACAGGCACAAGGTAGTGAGAGAAAGAAAGCCCAAGACATAAAGACAGACCAACCCTGGGGCAGACAGGGGTGGCCAGAGACACACAGAACAACAGAGATGATTCAGACATGGCGGCAGAGAATCTGAGGATGGTCAGAGCTGGGGCAGAGAGGCAGCCCCAGAGCTGTGGGGCAGCTGGGGATGGAGCAGGCAGGACTCAGTCAGCCAGCTCTGAGACTGCGCGGTTCCGGGACCCACGTGGGGATGGGGAGGTCTCTGGGCCCTGCACACACCTTCCCACACCATAGGTAGCAGCAGGACGGGGTCTTGAGGATGAAGACATCATTGGAGTTGAGGGAAGCGGCCCGGGCTGGGACCTCAAAGGCCTTGGTGTTGTTGGCACTGGTTCCCCGGACCTGGAAGAGCCGTGTGGAGGGCACAGGCTCCAAGTTGTTGGCTCGGGAGGTGCCTCCCTGCAAGGGTGGGGAGAAGGCAGGGAGAGAGGACAGGAGTAACTTAGTCCAGCAGAAGACAATGGGGCAGCAGTGGGGCACAAAGAGAACCAGAGGAGGAGAGGTTGGGTGGAGTCTGTCTGCCCCTCCGGGTCCTCTGATGCACCATCACCAGGCTAAGTCCCCTTCCCCCAGGACCTCCACGGCCAATCCCAGGTGACTGTATTCACGCTCCCCTCTCGACTCAACTTCTATTTCTAGCATTTAACCACATGGTGCCTCAGACTGTTACTTCACTGCCTGGGCACAATGACGTGCCATCTTCTCCTCACTGGACGAATCGCAAAGGACTATGTGCTTAGCAGATGCTCAAGAAGTAGATTATTGCTTAAATGACTGCATGAGATGTCTATTTCATTTTGTTGGAAAGCACCAATGCAGTTTGCTTCATTTAGGCAAATCCAGCCAAACTAACTTCCTTTTGCAGGCAGGAAACTCAAGGAGTTGGGGGGTGGAGGGCAGACGTATTTGCATGTGGCAAGGGCTCATTCCACGTATTTCTAAAGTAACCAAATGGTTGGTCCTGTTACTAATTGCACATAGGTGATGGAACCTTTGATGGCCCTCCTGAAGAGCAAACCTATAGCCCTGTCTCTCTCTTTGAGCTGCCTCCTGTGGCTATGAACTCCCTTTGCCAAGGAAATACTCCTCCAGGCTATGAAGAATGGACTTCCCCCCCAGCCTCAGCCCCAGCCCCACCACAGTCCCCTTCCCCATCTCCTGGACGCCCACCCCGCCTCAGTGGGTACTGCCAGGTGCCTCAGTCCAGCAGCCACACCTGGTAGACCACCATTTGTCCCTTGAAGATGGACATGAGATGGGGCGGCTCTTTGCCCATTGGGACCCGGATCTGGACCGGTTCATCGTTATACTTCTGGTCCAGGATGACGGCTTGATAGGCCGAGGCGGCGATTTCATCCTGGCTGGCCTGGCTGCCCTGGGATGAGCAGGAGGGAAGGCATGGGATGGGTCAGCCCCAATCCTGACCCCATCCTCGGCCTCAGCAACAACTTCAACCCCAGTTCTGACCCAGCCCCAAACTTAACTCTTTCCCCCACCAAACCCAACTCTGGCTGGACACAGCCAAAATCCCAGCCTGACCCAGACCTCAATTTTGACCCCAGCTCCAGCCCAGCCCTGACCCACCTGCTGCCCCAGCCTTGACCCCAAACCTCCTCTCCTCCTTTCTGCTCCTTCCTCAGGGAAGCACCCATCTCTCTGCTCCCTCACATCTAGACACGGAAACCCAAAGGCAGAGCAGGCAAACAGAGCGTGCAGAAGGAATGGAGATTGGGAAGGAGACTCGGGAATCAAAAGGAAAAGGATTGTGAATGGGGGTACTTGGCAGGGTCTCACAGCCAAAGCAGTCCCAAGATAGAATGGGCTGCCTCTTGAGGAGGTGAGTTCCCCATCCCCAGAGGTATTCAACCCAAGGATGATGGCCACTTGTCAGGAATAGGTGGAAGGGGAAGCTGAGTTGGCTGTGTTCTGGGTGGGACAGGGTGGGGCCTGACCTGCCAAATGTAGAGCAGGTAGTGCTTCTTCTCGCCGATGAGGTAGGTGTAGAGCAGCAGGTAGCAGTCGCCCCCAAAGAAGTGGCCTAGCCACTTGGAGTCCACAGGCACCAGCTCTAGGTCTTCGATGCGCCATACCTGGGGCCAGTGTCAGGTCGCTATGAGGTCCAGGATGGGCTCCACCAGCCCTGCTCCACCCAGAACGGCCTCCCTCCCCTCACATACCTGCACCTCCCCACTCCCATCGTCTACCATCTTCTGCTGGGCAGCCACCTGAGGCTGGACATGCATGGACGTGGCATCAAACTTCACCTGCTCCACCTTGGCTGGGGTGGGGGGAATCAGGACAGCAACTGTCAGCAGCTGAGGTCCTCCAGGTCCTCACAACAGCCCTGAGTGGTGGCTACAATCCTCAGACCCACTTTACAGACAAGGAAACCAAGGCTAGAAAGATTCAGCAGGCTCCCCAAGGTTGCACAGAGAGAGAGTGGCAGAGCTACAGCACAGAACCATATCTCCCTGGCCCTTAGGGTGCTGCTTTATCAGTGCCTCCTGGCGAAGACAGGAGAGGGACAGAACAAGGATTTAGCTTTGTCCAAACCCCTGTGGCATTCAGACTTCAAGCTCAACAGCGAGCTCTACAACAACGATGAGGGTGCACGTTCTCCTCTTATCCTCCCCCAGGCGCCTGGCATGGGGGCTGCCCTCCGCAAACATTGCTGAGAAACTGAAGCCATTCCCTTCCCAGGGAGGCCTGACCCCATCCCAAATGAAAGGCAGGTCATTTTCAGCTCCCTTTTTGTGAACAACTCGAGTTTGTCCATGTCCCCACCCCACCAGGAGAAGCTCAGAGCCAGGGTACGAGTGCGTGGAGGAGGCACGTCAGGGAAGGCGGGTGGAGGCCAAGTTGCTCTCCCGGCCCAGCCCCTGGATCCCACCTCCCCCTCTGCTGAGGCCCTGGCCTCACCCACGGAGCCCACAGTGTGGGCTCTGCCCAGGCCTGAGGTCCGGCCGGGCACGGTCCACTTCTGGAAGAGCTGCTGAAAGACGGCTGACTCCGCCCCATCGTTCTGCACCTCTATCTGCGTGCTTTCTGGGTACTGCTTGGCTTTGATGAAGTTCTGGGAAGAGAAGGGAGTTCCTGGAGGCCATGTCCCTCCCCCAGCCCTCACCTCCAGGGTAGCCCAAAGCCTGGCTCTAACCCCAACCAGACCCACCATCAAACCTACCTCTGGTCCCAAACCTGAACCCAACCCCAATCCCAATGCTGACCCCAACCCTAACCCTACTCTGACCCAAACCTTAAGGTCAAAACAGACACCACCCCAAACCTAACACTGACCTCAAGCCTTATTATTCTGGCCTCAACCTTGAATCTGACAAGAGGCTGACCCCAAACCTAACTCTGATCCCAATCCCAAGGTGAAATCTGGCCCCCAGCCTGACCCCACCTCAGTGCTAACTGTAATACCCAGCCCTCAACTGTAACCCTGAGCCCACGCCCCAACCCAACACCACCCCGAGCTGGTTAGGGTTACTAACTCCAGCCCCAGCAATGACCCCACACTCTGACTTGGCCCAGGTCTCCAGCTGACCCAATCCCCTTTTGTAGAAAGGCCAGCCTCCATTTCTCTCTCCTCTCTCTAACCCCAGCTCGAATGCAGAGCCCCCATCCCCCTGAGGCGGCCCCAGGGTTGCCTGGTGGTTGGCTCCCTGGGATGCAGAGAAGCCCCAAAATGGCTACAGAATGGCCTCTCCCAGTCCTCCCTGGCCTCTACCCGGCACTGTGCTCTGGCTTGAGCCTGCCCTGCCCTGCTGCTGCCAGCTTCCCCTCCTCCCATGGCTCTGGCCCTCATCCCGGCCCCATCCCTACCAGCGCCTGGCTCATGGCTCCTTTCTTCTCCTGGTCGTTGGCGTTCTTCCCCCTCCACACGAAGATCTTCAGGCCCCCCTGGTCTAGGATGTAACAGTCCTAGAGTCGGAGGGAAAGACCCAGCTGAGAGTCAGGCACTGGGGTGGCCGCTGTGGCAGCCTCAGCTGCAAAAAAGCCTCTTTCGGAGGTGCGGTGGCTCACCCCTGTAATCCTAGCACTCTGGGAGGCCGAGGCGGGCGATTGCTCAAGGTCAGGAGTTCGAAACTCCCGAGCAAGAGCGAGACCCCATCTCTACTATAAATATAAAGAAATTAACTGGCCAACTAATATATATAGAAAAAATTAGCCGGGAATGGTGGCGCATGCCTGTAGTCCCAGCTACTTGGGAGGCTGAGGCAGCAGGATTGCTTGGGCCCAGGAGTTTGAGGTTGCTGTGAGCTAGGCAGACACCACGGCACTCACTCCAGCCTGGGCAACAAAGTGAGACTCTGTCTCAAAAAAAAGAAAAGAAAAGAAAAAGCCTCTTTCCCTTCCAGCACCCTGGAATCTCTCCTGCTTGGGGAGAGGTGGCTGCCATGGGCTGGGGGCCTCGAGACCCTCTCACCTCGTGATTGAGCAGGTCCTGTGTGAGTGGCCGTGTGGCGATTTCCCGGACCACCAGTTTCCCCTCAGAGTCTGACACACTGCAGGACAAAGGCAAGGCATAGGCGGGAGCGGCCCACCCCCTCAGCCAGGCCCCTGCCCCCAGGAAGACCCTGCCCTCACTCACTGGTACAACTTGAGGGCAGCCTTGAGTGCTGGCTCCACCACAGTGTCGGGAATGGCTGCCTTCAGCTCCCTGCGCTGGCCCAGCACGTGCTTCATCACCTCCATCAGCTTGGGGGACGCAGATTCGTTCTCCCCGTCCACCACGCCCACGTACGTGCGGCCACCCCGCTCCTGGTCTCGGATCTCCTTGGCCAGCGTCATGCCCTGGAGGAAGGCCCCAGGTGGCCCATGAAGGCTGGCAGGGGACAAGGCAATGCCTGCCACCCTACGCCTGCCAGACAAGCCCCAGCTCACCCACAGCAGCCACAAGGGCCGAGGTACCTGCCCAGCTTTCCCCTTCACAGGGGCCGAGCTTGAGGAAACCCAGGGAAAGGCGGCGGGACAGCAGCTTTGACAGTGTCTGACGTTTGTGATTTGCCTTCACAGTTTTGGACAAGAGCAGAGGCCGGGGACCACAGTACTCAGTCTCATTGCTCCAAAGCATGCTTGCACGGGCACAGTGCAACACGGCCCCACGTGTGCCCACACATGTGCACACGCATGCTCACTCACACACCAGGGCTCACCCTCCTCATCCTGACTAATGTCCAAGTCCCTGCCTTTGAATCCCAGGTAGCCTCTCTCTCCACTCCCCTAGGCTGTCTCTCTGAGGCCAGGGCCTCTGGAGATTGTACATGCCCATATTTCTGTCTCAGCCCAGCTCTCTCCCAACCTGTGTGTCCAACTTCCAGGAAGACAGCCTCATTTTAAGGTGACCACAATGGAACGCTCTGTTTTCCCCCCCAAGTCTGTGGCTTCCTGATCTTTCTCACCTCAGGAAATGGGGCTCTGTCCGTCTTTCCCCCCGCCCCCCGTTTGAGTTTGGCCTCCCTCCTCTCTCCCTTCCCCCTCTTCCAACACACAAGTACTTCTGGTGGGTTCCACCTCCCAAGGCTTGGCCTGGGCACCACCCCCTTCCCCTGGATGGCTGCAGGGGCTCCCTGCTTCCCTGGCCTCTCCCCAGCCCCAGCCCCACTCAGAATCACAAAGACCTTCAATGGCCCCCCTGGCACTGAGAATAAACCCCAACCTGCTTGCACAGCCTTCTGGCCACACAGCCTGCCCCTGTGAGACCCACCCGACTTGCTCTGCTGCTCCTGCTGCACTGGGAGACGGGCCAGCCACCCTCTTTCCTGACATAGGGCCCGCTCCCCCCACTGCCCCTCTCCTGAGCCCCCAGCTCGCCGTCCCTCTCGCATCACTTCTCCAGTTGTTCCCTTTACGTCTGTCTCCCCACCCTCGCCCCGGACAGCCTGCTGGAGGCCAGAGCAAGGGCAGGGTTCTGCCCATTTCATTCATCCCCGAGTCCCCAGCGCTTGGCATGGGGTCTGCCGCACTGCGGGACTCTCCATCTCAGTGGATCAGCCGCAAGCACACACACGCAAACTCCAACACGCGTGCCTTCCCCATACACGTGGAGACAGCTCCACCTTCAAACACACCGTCCCCACAGTCAGGGGCCAGGGCTGGGGCCGGTCTGGGCAGGAGCGGGCGGGGGCAGGCTGGGATTTGAGGAGCAGGTGTGGCGCACAGGCGGTTTACCCTCAGTCTCTCCATGCGGTTGCTCTCCGGCCCGTTCCACTGGATGATAAGCTTCCCGAGGTCCAGGAGGAAAACATCTCCTCGGTTGAAACTACTCCAGGACACTTCCACCTGGGGGGCCACAAGGGAGGAGGCCCAGCCCCCACTCAGAGTCCACTCGGCATGCATCATCCTGCCCCTCATCCCTCCTCAGCCCCTGCCCTCTGTCCTTAGTGGGGCCTGGGAGCCCCAGCCACTGCCCTGGTGAGGCCTGCCCACCTCTCCGGCCACCACGTTCCTCTTGCCCTTGACGTGCAGCAGCCGCTGAACCTCGTAGGAGTTGGTCTCCACATGCTTCATGCCGGAAGCTACGCCCCCTTTCTGGATCCTGAGAGAAGAGGTGAGCTGACCCAAGGGAGGGGGCTGGGAGGTGTGCCGGACCCCTGCTCTCCCAGGTCCTGGGCTGCCCGGCTGCCAGTGGGGCCATCTGACAGTCAGGCGGGCACTAGGCGCAGTGGAGGAGGCACTTAGGGTGCAGATCTTAAGGAGGCACTCGGTGTCAGGGTCCTGCAAGTGCAAGGTCGGCCTGTGCATGCCTTTGCGAGACCCTGACAGTGACAGCCTCCCAAAAGTCTGCCCCTAGATGCTCACTCGCCGCACCCTAGTCCCTGCCCTGTGGAGGGCCCTGCAAAGATGGAGTGGTGGCACGCAGACAGTGGGCAACTTGGATAGGGATGGGGCCCTGAGGACAGGGGAATGAAGTGGAACAAAAGAAGGGAGAGGTGCCACTCAAATGCCCACAGGAGTGGACTGCTGCTGTAATGTGGGAGCGGGGAGCAAGACAAAAGCGGGGGGCTATGGCTAACTGTCGCACAGGTCAGGAGCAACTCAGCTCCAGAGCGTGTGTTTCTGGGGAAAAATCAGGGGGCTGGGACTTCAACTTGTGCAGAAGAGCCAGCAGCCTGGGCTTTGCTGTGCTAGCCCTGCTTTAGAGAAGCTGGGGCAGCCACCTGCCTGTCGGCCAGAGGAGGGTTGCTTGGTACTGAGCTCTCTAGGGCACTCCAATAGGAGCCGATTCACGAAAGTTATAGGATTTCAGAACAGCGTCTGGACCAAGGACAAAGCAGTGGCAGAAATAAGGGTGGGGGGTGGAAAAGGAAAGAAAAATCACCAAAATCCCAAGAGGGTCCCCTTTGCAGCTCCCCACACAGCCACAGGCTCCCTTCCCGGGCCCAGGTCCCCTCCACGGCCCAGGTCTCCCGGCCCCGGGTCAAGCCTCAGCACCCCCACCCCACCGCTGATCCTCATTGCCCCGGCTGCAGCGCCCCTCCCTACACTATGCCCTGCTTGAAGTAGCCTCGGAAGGTGTCACTCTCGTTGCCCTGGACCTCGCGGTGCTGGACAGCCCGGCCCTTCAGGTAGTCGTCCATCTGCGTGGTGTAGATGGCAGCTGCCCCCTGCTCGTCCTGCGACGAGGCCAGGCCGATCCAGTAGTGGATGTCATAGGACAGGGTGCTGCCCGTCTTGTGGATCTAGGGAGAGGGGGTCCAGTGTTCCCGGGGCCCTGGGCTCCCGCAGCCCCTCCCACTCCCTGTGACCGCCCGCACGCGTGCCATCCGGGACCACAGGTGAGCCCAGCACAGGGGAGCTGCACTGGGCCGGCGGTTGGGCGCCCCGAGTTGGGGCCCAGCCCTGCCACTGCCACTCTGAGACGTGGGGCAAGTGCTTCCCCCACTCTGGGCCTCACTCATCTCCTCTTGGAAATAGCTCGCTTGGACTAAAGCAGCTTTTCCCAAAGTGAAGCGAGTGGACCAGCAGAGGTCCGAGGTGGTGTACGAACAAATGTAGTATACGAAATGTTTGTGTATTTTATAGCTACTTTCTGGTTGTGATGCAAGACACTGCCTTCCATTTATAGCAATGCGCAGAGCCATATTGTTAAATAAATATATTTAAAATTTAAAAGTGAGTCAACATAAAGAAAAAGAAAAATACAAATGCCTTAATAGTACCAGTGGTACCAGGGTGTGGTGAAAATCAAGGTGACATAAAGATTACTATGGATTTTGGACATATGGACTCAGGTTAGGGCAACATGGCACCAGCTCAGAAGGTCCCCTAAGACTGAATCCACAGAAGGTCGCCTCAGCTGGGAGATCAGCAGCTCAAGGGCAGGGAGAGCCTCTGACCCCTGTAGAGCTACCACAAGGCGGGGCGCCTGGGCACACCCAGTAAATCCTGCCTTTGGGAGAAGCCAGGCCAGCCCTCCCCTGCTCTCCCCAGGCTGCGTCTCCTCAGGGGGCTGTGCTCTCTGCTCTGCCCCTGCCCGGCCGGCGCCCACTCACAGCCAGGACAACGTAGCAGTCACCATCGAAGAAGCTCCCAAAGGTGCTGGAAGAAACAGGCACCATCTTCATGGCCTAAGCAGAGAAAGGAGGTCAGAGGGGGCTGCCCCGGACCACCCAGAACCCCCGAGGCCCGGGAGGAGGAGGGTGACCAGGGGAATGGGTGTGAGGAGGGTGCAAAGAAAAAGAGCAGGGCCCAGGAAGGAAAGGAGAGAAAAGGAAGAAGTAAGAAGGAACATGTGTGTAAGGGGCAGAAGAGAAACAGAAGGAGGGAAAGGAAGAGGCAAGTGAGGAGGAGGATGGAGGTCGTGCGGAGGAAGGATGAAAGACAGATGACAGAGGGACAGAGGGAAAGGAAAGGCAGGGCAGGGGGTGTGGATGACGCGGGAGGTGAGGGCAGCAGGCAGGACTGCAGGAAAACGAGAGCAAGCCCAGGACTCTGCCTTCCCGCCCAGGTCTGCGAGCCCCCCACGCCCAGGCAGGGCCTCACCTCGATCCTCCATATCTGCAGCCCCGGGGTGGTGGTGTTGAGAGAGCCTTTGACTTGGGCATTCAGTTTGGTCATGGTGAGCGAGCCTAGGGGAGAGGGCACGTGGGAGCAGGGCGGAGGGGCTGGAAGCACCCTGGTTCCAGGTGCTGCCCGTCCAGCAGGGCGGCGCTGGAGAGCTCCCAACAGTGCTGGGAGCTGGTAGGCTCAGGGGTTGGGGGGAGAAGGGCAGTTGGCTCCCCAGTCTAGCCTGATCCCCGAGGGCCCAGCCTCCAGCCTTCTCACCTAGCTCTGAACTTGACACTGTTGCTCAAGAGTCTGCTGGGGCTCCCTGCAGCTGCCCACTGAAGGCCCCGCTCCTCAGCCTGGCACTCAAGGCCCTTCTTTATCTAGCCCCCAATAAATTCTCTTTTTGAAAATCTTTTATCAAGGCTAGCTTGATTAAAAGAATTATACAGATTTAAAAAGAAAAGAAAAGAAAAGACTAAATAAAGGCTTAATGATGTATACACCCGAAAGAAGTGAAAACAGGTATTCCAACAAAAACTTGTACTAGAAATGCATAGCAGCTAGATTCAAAATAGTCAAAAGGTGGAAATAACACAAATGTCCACCGACAGATGACCGGATAAACAAAACGCAGTGTAGACGAAGTGCTGACACCTGCTACAACACGGATGGGCCTCGAAAACATTATATGACATGAAAGAAGCCAGTCACAGAAGGGCACCTATTGTACAGCCCCATTCATATGCCATGACCAGAACAGGCAAATCCTTAGAGACAGAAGCAGGCGAGTGTGGCCTGGAGCTGGACAGCGGGGCCATGGTGAACGACTGCTGCTGGGTACTGAGTTTCCCTCTGGGATGATGAAAAAGTTCTGGAACTAGATAGTGGTGATGGTGATGGTGGTGGTTGCACAACACTGTGAATGTACTGAATGCCTCTGAATTGTGTGCCTTAAAATGGATAAAATGGGGATGGGGAAGGCAAGGGCATTATACGTAACCTTAAAATTTGTACCTCCATAATATGCTGAAATAAAAAGGAGGAGGAAAAAAAAAGAATCATGGACACTCTTCCCAAAGCAAATACGTTGTTATATACAGCCTGTATTTTGTGAACATAATTATAAATTTCCAGGTACAAAAAACAATAGATCACAAATGTGAAAAAAAATGGATAAAATGGTAAATCGTATGTGTATTTTACCACAATAAAAAAAGTATATGCAACAATTTCCTGTTCCTCCTGAGCTACCCCTATGCACCCCTCAGTCACTGTTCTGGTGGCCCACAAGACGTAGACCCGGCCGGGCACGGTGGCTCACGCCTGTAATCCTAGCACTCTGGGAGGCCGAGGCGGGTGGATTGCTCAAGGTCAGGAGTTCAAAACCAGCCTGAGCGAGACCCCGTCTCTACCATAAAAATAGAAAGAAATTAATTGGCCAACTAATATATATAATATATAAAATCAGCCGGGCATGGTGGCTCGTGCCTGTAGTCCCAGCTACTCGGGAGGCTGAGGCAGGAGGATCGCTTGAGCCCAGGAGTTTGAGGTTGCTGTGAGCTAGGCTGATGCCACGCAATCACTAGCCAGCAAGAAAGCGAGATTCTGTCTCAAAAAAAAAAAAAAAAAAAAAAAAGACGTAGACCCCACAAGGGCAGGGACAATTTCTACCTGTTCAGTACTGAATCCCCAGCATCTAGCACGGTGCCAGCACTTTGCCGGTGAATGAATGGATGAAGGAGGGGAGGGAGAGGAAGGATGAATGAATGAATGACAGAGTGAACCCTCCTGCTGTGAACCTCTCCACCCACTGAACTGGAGGACATCTCTCCTCCCCAGGCTACTCTTATCACATCTGCCCTTTCTTTTTTGACCTGTAGCTGTGTTCTTCATCCCAGCTGCTCATCAAGATCACCTGGAAGTTTTCTAAAAATACTGATGCTCTTGGCCGGAGTGCAGTGGCTCACGCCTGTAATCCTAGCACTCTAGGAGGCTGAGGCAGGAGGATCACTTGAGGTCAGGAGTTCGAGACCAGCCTCAGCAAAAGCGAGACCCCCATCTCTACTAAGACTAGAAAGAAATTAGCTGCTGATCAGAGACTGGGCAGGGCCTTGCCCCAAACTCCAGAATGCCAGGGGGAGAGGTCACCCCTCAGGGTTCAGCACAGGGAGTGTCCAAGAAGTAAAAGGTCAGGTCATTAATTACTCCAAGAGGTGACTCAGAGTCAAGGTGCAAGGAGAGATTAGATAGAGAGATTGGAGGCTATCAGTGTGTGGAGACTTGATTCCTGGGGGCCATATGACCTTGCATTGATTATTCATCAGTTCAAGGAGCATTTATGCAGGGCAGCCCATGCCAGGGGGGTGGTAGGCTCCGTGGAGAATGGGGTGGGCTCCAGCCTGGTGAGGATTGGCCTCAAAACCAAGGAGGAAGATAACTGTGAACAAATGGTTCTCTGCCCTGGCTCCTATCAGAATCTCTGGGGAGTTTTAAATGCACCCATGCCCCGCCTCCCAAAAGACAGAAAATAAAGTACCCATACCTGGCCCCCTACCGCGGCCTAATGACATCGGAGTTCCTGGGGACTTGGCCTTAGCATAGGAGCATCAGTATTTTTACTTCTTTTTCATATTTTCTTTCCTTTTCTGTTTTTTTTTTTTTTTTGAGACAGAGTCTCATTCTGTTACCCAAGCTACAGTGCCATGGCGTCAGCCTAGTTCACAGCAACCTCAAACTCCTGGGCTCAAGCGATCCTCCTGCCTCAACCTCCTAAGTAGCTGAGACTACAGTCGTGCGCCACCACACCTAGCTCATTTCTTTTAATTTTTGTAGTGATGGGCATCTCAATATTTTGCCCAGGCTGGTCTCGAACTCCCAAAATTAAGGGATCCTCCTGCCTCGGCCTCCCAGAGTGCTAGGATTACAGGTGTGAGCCACCGCTCCTGGCCTCATCAGCTATTTTTCAACCCACGGAGTCCCCAGGGCTCCCAGGACTCCTGGTTCAGCAGAACCAATTTGAGTACAAAGGAGGAGAACGTTTTCTGTTTTTCAATCAGCACCTTTTTCTCCATCCTTGTTTTTCCAAGGCAGACTCTTTAGCAATACAGGGGTGGGTCCCGATCTTCATCTGTGAGCCCAGGGGGTCAACTAAACAGATGATTTCTGAAGTCCCGCCCAGGGATGCGCTCTGATTCTAGGAGTGAACTGGCCGCAAAGGAATAGGAGGAGGGTAGACATGAGGAGGCACCTCTTGTCCCTCGAGAGGGGCTTCGAGAGGGGAGCGGGGGCCTGAAAAGGCAGTGCTCCCCCTCCCTGGAGAGAAATCAGGACTGGGGGCCTGCAGCAGCTGGCCTCCTTAGGGCCAAGGGTGAACAGGGGACTCGGGAGGGGTGGCTCTGAGGTGGCCTCACGCCATGGAGACCCCTCCAGCTGCTCCTGCCCCACACCCAAATTGGTCAGAGCAGCCATGTCTCCCCAGCCCTCAGTGGGGCCTCCTCACCTCTCCTGTCTCCCCCGAACTGCTGGGAGGGCTGTGGGCCCCTCACTGCCCGCCACCCCGCCGGCCCGGGCCCTGGTTTGGATACGGGTTGTCTTCTCCCTCAGCTGGAACTCACAGGCTCGCCCTCACTGCTGTCACTCCTCTCTCTTCCATGTCCCCAGACCCCAAAGTCAGCCAGCTGTGCAACATCCTGGACTCCTCTCCTCCCCTGCCTAAACTCCCTCCTCGCACACCCCTGCCCTCCCTGCTGGCGCTCTGCCTTCTAGAGATGCCGGCCAGCTGCGGCCCTGGCAGCCACGCTGCCTCCCACTCGTGCCTGCTCACGCTGTCTTCCCACCCAAGGTCTCCCTCTATGCTCAGTTGAGGTCTCCTTTCTTCCAAGAGACCTTCCCAGAGTCCTCAGGCTGAACGAGGGGCCCCTCCTTGGCGTCCTGGACTTATCCCTCTCTTGGCCCCCTGACCACACAATGAAGAAACAACCTGTTTATGAGTCTGAGGTCCCCGCACTCCAAGACCTATAAATGTTTGTCTTTGCGGCCCCCAGCTCCTAGCACACAGCAGGTGCTCAACAAATATGCACGATGCTGAAAGACTGAACTGTGGGACAGGAGGACCCTCTCGGGGCCCTGGAGTGGTGGGGAGCTCTCTGCAGGTCCCACTTGCCTTTCTTTCTACTTCCTGTTACACTTGGGTACAGCTTGGACAGCCCTGGGGACCTGCCACGGCTCCTAGTTCCCAGTTGTGCAGTCCTGAGCTCAACAGGGATGTAGTGAGGCAGGGGGGTGAGGTCCCCTCAGACAAGGGACATCCTCCTGCAGTGGACACTCCCCACCCCTCAGGCCTGCAGGCTCGGCCCCTAATGACCTAGAGGATGCCAGAGCATATGGTTTCCTGAGAAGACGGTGCCAACGTGTCCTGAGACCCTAGTCCGGACCTGGCTCCCACCCCCATTTCAGCTGAAGGGGGCCTCCGTGGCTGGGGGGCCAAGGGCACAGTTCCTGGTGCAGGGGAGATGGGGCAGAGGCGCATGCTAGGGCGGACCTAAGGCCCTGCTGCCTCCAGCCCGTGCCTCTGCCCTTGTCTCTATCTTTGCCCATCGATTCCTGGTGGCTGTTATTCACACCCTGGGACCCAGGAGGGAGGGTCCTGAGGTCCCGGGAGTGTCAGGGGAATGGCAACACAAAGAGAGAAACCATTTCAGATGAGAAAGAAATGGACAAAGAGATGAGCTGTGGTGGGAGGTAAGGAGTGAGGTCAGGGTGACCAACTCATCCAGGTTTGCCCAGGACTGTCCTGGCTTTACCTCTAGAAGTTCTGGGGCAATAGGGGATGGCTGATACTCAAAGTAGGGTGGGCGACACAGGTGAGGGGACCGGAAGAGCAGGTGTCTGAGGCAAGGCCTGCAGAATTCTCTTGCTGGAGGTGCACTGCAGACACACCAGCCTTCTGGCTCTTCCCACTCTCCAGAGGGCTGAGCCTCTTCCTCAGGCCTGCACCCAGCTGCTGCGGGACACCCCAGGCTGCCGGCACATGCAGGGGACCCTGTCTCCTCCCACCACCTATGGTCCCCGAGTTTCCCCACCAGGTTGCCTTACCTGTCTGGGGGAGGCAGCTGCCACCTGGGAGATCTCAGGGAATTGTGGCAAGCTGGCTGCAGGAGAGCGACCTTTGTCCCCACCCCCCCCTTCTCTAGGAACTGCCTTCACCATATAAGGGAAGATAGGGCCCCAGAGAGAGAAAGAATGGGTGAGGGGGTGGGGAGGCAGGTGCCAGCCAGGTCCCTGGGTGCTCGGAGCCCAGCGACAGCATGACAGCCAGAGGTGATGTGCCCCACCCTTGGCTCCTAAGCAAGCACGAGGCATGGGCTGGTCTTCTGCCTGGCGGCCAGGCCCGCCTCACTGCAGGCAGCCACACCGTCCAGGGGGGGTCAGGAGCACCTGGACCCTTCATCTTACCCACCAAGAGAAGGAGGCTCAGCTGTCCTCCCTCCTTCCCTGGGGGAATGGTTCATGGGGGAGGAGGGGCAGGACTCCTGCGTTCTAGAAGCCCCAGACCCAGGGCTGTAGGGCCAGCACTTCACACTTGGGCCCCCTCCAGGACAGATGGGACACTGGCACTCTAGAGTCTCTTCAGCAGGACCCTCGCTTAGAGAGGGCCCCAGCGGGCACAAGTGCTCTTTCTGTCCACGCCTCTCAGGATCAGTAGCTCCACCTGCAGATTTTATGAGTTGTCATAAACCAGTGCCTTTGGACTTTGCTCTGCCACCCTGTCCCAGAAGCCAAGGCTTCCATTTCCGACCCCTGACTCTAGGGGACTCATGGCCTTCAGGATGGAAAGGAGTGCAGCCCTCTCTGGCGTGGGTCTGGCTGACAGACCGGCTTCCCACACAGACTCAGCAGCTGGGGCAGCCACCCCCCAACCTGCACAAATTCTCCCGTCCCCTCTGAACCCTGGTCCTTAGGAGGGTGAATGAAGTGGGCTGGGTGAGGGCAGACCCTCCTCCTCCTGACCACGGCTCCCAAGAGTTCTGGAGATCAAATGTACAGTAGTCTGCCCTTATCTGAGGCGGATACATTCCAAGATCCCCAGTGGATGCCTTGAAACCATGAATAGGACCAAGTTCGATTGCCGGACGCTGTGGCTATAACTTTTGCAGTTTGAGCTGCAACAGCAAAACTGGCAAGAATGGATAGACCCACCTGCTGCACATGAGAGCCTGTTTCTCCATCTCTCTCCCACACTGGGCTCCGGCCTTGAAGAGAATCCCAGTCTGATTGTCAAAAAAGAAAAGAGTTGTGTTGATTTGTGTTTCTTTGACTACCTGTGAAAGAGACCATTTTAAAATACATTTATTGGCCGGGTGCAGTGGCTCACGCCTGTAATCCTAGCACTCTGGGAGGCCGAGGCGGGCGGATAGCTCGAGGTCAGGAGTTTGAAACCAGCCTGGGCAAGAGTGAGACCCCGTCTCTACTATAAATAGAAAGAAATTAATTGGACAACTAATATATATAGAAAAAATTAGCCGGGCATGATGGCCCATGCCTGTAGTCTCAGCTACTCAGGAGGCTGAGGCAGGAGGATCGCTTGAGCCCATGAGTTTGAGGTTGCTGTGAGCTAGGCTGACGCCATGGCACTCACTCTAGCCCGGGCAACAAAGCAAGACTCTGTCTCAAAAAAAAAAATACATTTATTGGCTATGTCTTTTGTGAGTTTTTAATTAACTTGTTGGAATTGTTTACATATTTAGTGTTTTAAGGCTGGTAACTTGCCTGTCATTTATGTTGTACTTTTCTCTAGTTTGTTGGTTACCTTTTTTTTATATAACTTTTTATTATTTCATAATTTATATTTCTTCCTTTTTTTTTGTTTTTTTACAACACTGTGACTTGGGATGTTGGTTACCTTTTAATTTAACCCAAAACACATACATGTTTTTAAGAAGTTATTTCCAATTTCCTTGATTTTCTATGATAAATGCCAAATATATAGAAAAGTAGGAATAATAGTATACAGATTCAAGACTTAACATTTGCCGTTGTGTGTATATATATTTGAAAGTAAGTTAAGGACATCATACTTCAGCCAAAATATTTAATTTTTCACACATCTAAGAATGAGGACATGCTCCTTCATAACTGTAATATAACTTTCACACCTGAAAATATGAACAATCTTTTCTAGTATATCTAATATCATCTTTCCAGTTCACAGTCAATTTTCTCCAATTATTTTCACAAGGACTTTAACAGCTGGTTTTATTGATATAGGAGCAAATCAAGATCATGCATGTCCTTTGATTGCTCTATCTCTTCAGTACTTTTTGTTTTGTTCAGCATTTTTTAATCTAGAAGAGTCCTTTCCCTTTTTTTTCTGACATTAACTTACCTGAGTCAAAGACAGTTGTCTTGTAGAATGTTCACACTGGCGAGCTCTCTCCTTATGGTATTATTGAATTGGTTCCTCTTCCTCTTGTACCTCCCACAAGCCGGAAGTGCATCCAGTAGGTTCTGGTTTAACACTGTATTTGAGAATACTTTATGGGCCTGTGCTTCTCAAACTGTAATAGCATAAAGAATCACTTGGGAATCTTGTAAAGTATAGAACTTGATCAAATAGGTCTGGGGAGGAGCCAGAAATTCTGCATCACTAGCAAGCTCCCAGGTGATGATGCCATGCTGGGCCTTGGACCACACTTGCAGTAGCATGGTCAAAAGTGGCGACATTGCATTGCTCAGGAAGTATTCAATGTCAAGTTATCCCTGCAGGAGCAATGCAAATTTTGAACCTTTAGTTACCGCGGTGTCTGCCAGATATCCCACTGCAAAGACACAATCCTCCCTCTTGCAGTCAGAAGTCATCTGGGGTGACCAATTGGTACTGGCAGCACAAAAGTTGTTGACTTTTTATTTATCACTTTCTACTTCTCCTTTAGCAATATTCGTTTTGTAATTACTTTTTTAATGTCTGTCCCTCTCCCCCATGTTTTGCTCACTGCTGCACCAAAGAAGCTGGTGCATAGCAGGCATGCAAGGAATGTTTGAAGGAAAGAAATGGAATTTATGATGTCTACTTTCAATATTGTATTGAGGAAGCTGAGTGCATGGTTTTTAATTTCAAACTTATTTTATTTCAAAAAATTAATAAATGTACCCGGTGAAATAATCCAAAATGCAAACAGATATATTCTAAAACGTGTCCCTTATATCTTAGATGAATCTCAGTCCTCCAGCCCTACTCCTCAGGATTGGCCACAAGTATCTTACCAGAGTGTACAAAAGTATACACCTATATTTGTGTCTATTTTTATATTTCACCTGAGTGGGAATACACCATCACCATTGTTATGAATCTTACTTTGTTTCATTTACCGGTATGTCTTGGACACCATTCTCTATTAGTTTATACTGTTCTACCTCATTGTTTTTCATGACTACAGGGTATTCTCTGGTATAGATATAACAAGGTGTATTAATATTTAACCAGGCCCTTATTGGTGGACATTAGGTTATTTCAAGTGTTCTGTTACTACAATGACACAATGCATACTCTTAAACATACAAGGTTACATATACATATGTTTTGTCTACAGGGTAAATTCCTACACGTGGAAATGCTGAATCAAAAGGTGTCTGCAGGCTACGCAAGGTGGCTCACGCCTGTAATCCTAGCTCTCTGGGAGGCCGAGGCGGGCGGATCATTTGAGCTCAGGAGTTCGAAACCAACTTGAGCAAGAGCGAGACCCCGTCTCTACTATAAATAGAAAGAAATTAATTGGACAACTAATATATATAGAAAAAATGAGCTGGGCATGGTGGCGCATGCCTGTAGTCCCAGCTACTCGGGAGGCTGAGGCAGGAGGATTGCTTGAGCCCAGGAGTTTGAGGTTGCTGTGAGCTAGGCTGACGCCATGGCACTCACTCTAGCCTGGGCAACAGAGTGAGACTCTGTCTCAAAAAAAAAAAAAAAAAGGTGTCTGCATTTAAAAAATGTTTTTGATGGATAATTGTCAAATCACTCTCCAAAGAGGTCATACCAGTTCACACTTCTGCCAACAGCGTTGTTATCATGGCCTGTTTCCCTGCATCCTCTGGAGTGTGCGTGTGTGCGCGCTTGCGCTTGTTCTGTTACCAGGCTTGGCTAGAGACATTTTCACCTCTGACATCTCCAAAGCCAGAAGTTAGGTCACCTTCCTCCTTCTCCTTCCCTCCTGCCCCCCAGAGCCAACCAGCCAATCTCCTCCTGCCAAGTCCATCTCTTACCTCTCATTCATCCTCCTTCCTTCTCTCTTTGTTCTGCTTCTGCCTCAGTTTAGGCCTTCATTCTCCACCTTTGGGACCATGGCTGTGGTCTCCTAATAGAATCTCGTGTCTGTACCCCTGATGTGGCTTGCAACGTGCAGCTGGCAGGTTTGAGCACACTCTTCTCTTGCTCAGCGTCCCTCAGGGTCCTTCAAGGGTGCCCACTGCCTGCAAGAAAAAGGCCACTCCCTTCATCTGCATTACCTGCCCCCTCCTGCATTCCACAGCCTCATTTCCTATTCTCCCCCCTTGTGTGCCATTCCAAAATTTTGGTCACTTCCTACACTCCCTGCTGTGGTTGGCCACTGAGGCTTTCTTTTCTCACTTCCTCTCCCTGTGCACCCTCCTTGCTCAGGCCACCTTCACCTGACTCCTCCTTTCCAAACTCCTCTGAGCCTCACTCCTGCAGGGAATGTCTTCCAACATGCCCAGGGCCGCCCAGGTGGGGCTACATATCCCTGGCCCTCTCCTGCCTGCCATGCGCTGTCCCCACTGCATTTGCACACTGCAGTGTTTAGAGCATCTGTTTCTCTTTGCACACTAGGCTGTGAGTTCTGTGAGAACAGAGGCATAGCCTGGTCCTGGCACCGTGCCTGGCACACAGTAAGCACCTGATACATGTGGTTGGGTTGAACTCTATGTGGGTGGAGGGTGTGTAGGTGGTGGTGGTGGGGGAAGCCTCACTGTGGTCTCTTTCAAAGTCAGGAGTTCTGGTGGCCTCTGGGATGCAAATCTGGGGCATGGGGGGAGGGGTGCAGTTTGCATGGAGAGCAGGAAATAGAGCTGGACGGGAGGGCTGGGTACATATCTAGCCAACTTTGGCTCTTGTGGCTGAGGTGAGGATGCTGCGGCAGCCTTCTCCAGGTGGGTGCTTCCAGTCTCTTTTCTAACTGGGAATAGTAGTGGCGGCGAGGGGATAAGGGCCTGTTTCACACACCGCCGGACTTGGGTGCTGAGCAGCACCCGGGGCGCCAGGAGACGGGCTTGGAGCTGGATTCAGGAGGTAAGGTGACGAGTGGGAGGGACTGGGGAGGTGGACCGGGACCAGCATTCGGGAGGCACATCCCTCTTCCCCCACAGATGGGGATGTGCCTCTCAAATGGACTCTCGGGGCTCCCCACCCCGCAGAAGGGTGAATGAGGCGACCCCCGAGGTTCCAATCTCCGGACGAGGGAGGGGCAGGGTGTGTGCCCGGGGGCTGGGGGAGGGCGGGCCCCGGCGTCCGCGAGGACCGGGTGGCCTCTAGCGGCCAGCGTGAGCAGCAGCCGAGGGCGGGCCTGGGAGGGGCGCGAGGGCACTTCCTGCCAAGGCCTGGGGCTGCCCAGTTTCGCAAAGGAAGTGCTGCCAGGGCCGCAGGGGCGGGGGCAGGAAGTGGGGCGGAGGCTCGCGCCGGGGCGCGGCCAATGGGGGCTCAGAGGCCGCGGTGGACCGGCCCGGCCCCACCCAGTCTGCGCGACGGAGCCTCCAGTGCCCGAGCCTGTGCCCCTGTGCGGCCAGGGCTGGCCGCCGATCTCGCAGGCTGGTCCGTGTCAGTCCGGCGAGAAGTCCTTGTTCTCCGCGGAACCTGGCCTCTCGGGTTCCCCTTCTCTAGCCTCTGCCCTCGGGGCCTCACCAGCCCCGCCCCTGTCCCCTGCTCCGGGGCACAGGCCCCGCCCCCACGCATTCCAGGGGCCGTCCCTACCGAGGCATTTTAGTTTTGCTTTTCAGCTAATAATACCGAGTGGTCTGTGTGCAGGGATTTAATCAGCTCTGCATAGAGGTCATATCTCCATTTTGCAGATTACATCACTGAGGCTAAGAGAGAGTAATTAGAGTACAGCCTGGAAGCACACCCTGATCCAATTCAGAGCTACGCCTGAACCCCGCCTCACTCACATTCCCCTGGGCCCCTCCAAACCGCTTGCAGAAGTCACACTGCTTGCAGAAGTCACACTGCAGTCACGGGCGTAAGACACCACACACCCCACTTCAAGCCCCTCCCCACCATAATAACCACAGACGCAGGATGGGGGGGTCTGGCTTTTTCTTTAGTTCTCATCACACTGTGAGGCTCTCAGAGAAGGCACTTAGATGGGAAGGTCACCCAATTCAGGCCAACCATATCCCTCCCCCACCCAGCTGGAGCAGGGAGGGCTACATCTCCACTTGACATCCCCCTTGGCACTGATATGTGGGTCCCCTTAACCGTTAGATCCTGGGGAGAGCCCAAGGCCTTGACCTCCAGACTCAAATGTATGAGGGTTTCAGAGTTGAGGACAGGATGTCCTGGGAGCTACCCCCAGCCAGCAGGGGGCAAGGCAGGGGGCTACAGGGGGTGAGTTGGCACAGGGGGAGGGGGACAGTTTGGCCAGTCTTCCTGGAGACCCCCAAACCCCACAGGAAGGTCCCACCTCCTGCAGATCCCTCAAAGGCACCGGTGAAGTTGGGTGGGTGGGAAGGCACCAATTAGGTGGTGTAGAGACCCTCACACACTTAGCTGGTGGACCTAGCAAAGTGCTGGGCACAGAAGGTGCTCAATAAATGCTTTTTGAATGAACAGAGCAGAGAGGGTGTGAAGGACAGGACAAGGCCCCTTGGCCCAGCTCATTCCATTCAGAAAACAGCACTTTAAAAAATGTAAAAATCCTATCCCTCCCTCCCCCCAATTTCTGGGCCTAGGAAAGGGTCAAGGGAGGGGTGTCTTCCCCTACCCTTCCCCTAAAAATCTATATACACATATACATATTTATATGGCACCACAAGGGGTCCTGCCTATGCCCCCACACTCAGAGCCTGGGGAGTGAAGCCCCAGGCCTCGGGGTGGTTAAGGCAGAAGTAAGGGGCTAGGGCTTGGCTGACATGGAGGGCAGCCCTCACCCTGGAAAAGATGGACTGTGGGGCCTGAGGGGCAGACCCCAGCTCCCTTCACCAGTGGTAACAGACCTCTCTCCCCTCCAAAGGCAGAGGCAGAGATTGGTGGGGGCTCCCACATCTCAAGGGAGGAGGTGGAGAGGGGACTGTTTCTCCCCCAGCAGCCTAGAGCTGACCCAGATGTGCCCCTGGGAAAGCTGGGCAGGGAAGAGGGGGCTCTATGCAAGGCACTTGGTGTCCACCATTCCCAGGCTGGAGGTCCAAGGTAGGGGGCAGGAGAAACACTGCCCCCCCTCACCCCCTGCTCCAAAGCAGAACTGGAAGGGGCCAAGGGGCCCAATTTGGCAGCAGAGAAACATGGCAGCACAGAGAGAGGAGACAGAAAGGGGGAGTGGCAGGTTGGGCCTCCCAAACTCCCTGAGAAGCAGGGAGAAGAATCAAAGGCACTGACACAGGGGCTCATCGTCCTCGGTGCAGCCTGGTGAGGCTGGTGGGGGAGACGCCTGCTTCCCCGTGGCACTCAGCGTGGCAGTGGCCCGTGGGTTTTCTTAATGAAGAACACGCCTGTGCAGAGCCAGTGTGGGAGGAGGTGTGGGCGTCAGTCAGGGGCAGGTCCTGGCCCCATCGCCCTCACTAGCTCCCAGGACGAGGTTGCCTGAGCACTGAGTACACGTCGTCCACACGGCTGAGTTGCTCGAAGAAGGGGAGGAGGTCGTGGAGCTCTGTGTCACTCATGTTGTCAAACCACGAGGCCACTGGTACCTAGGGAGATGGGTGTAGAGAGGTGAGCGGGGCAGGTGGCCCCAGCACCCACTCTTAGGTCATGTAGCTTCTAAAAACCCCTTTGAACCCCAGGGTTCAAACTATTTTGATAGCAACCCCCAGTGAAACACATCTGTGTATGTAACAAAGCAAAGTTTCATGAAACAATTCTTAACTTTACTGTTTTCTATTCTATTTCATTTTGTTAAAATCCCAATCAGGACCCACTAAATTAATTCCATGGGTCGTTAGTAGGTCACAACAGGCAGTCTGCGAAGTTGAAACTGCTCCACTGCCCAGCGGGGCCGCTCGCCCATGGCAGGCGGTCTGTGCACAAGCGGAATGGGCTGAGTGGCTGCAGCGACAGGGCGGGGGGTGGGGGTGGGGGGGACACAAGTGGGTGGTGGGCACAGGCAACTGAGCAAAGAGAAATGAACTAGGAGGGCACCAGCCCCCATACACCACCCGACTTGGCCAAGGTGGCCTGAACAGACTAACCCCATTCCTGCGTCTCAGCCCCATCCCGCCCGGCCTGCACTCACGGCGTTGTCCGGATGGAAGACGTAGGAGGCAGGCGAGTTGTCCAGGATGAGCACCCGCCGCAAGTCACGGCCCAGTCGGCTCAGGTCCTTCACGTAGTTCCCCCGGTGGAAGACGCAGGACTCTCGAAACAGCCGGGCCCGGAAGGCCCCCCACTTATCCAGCAGGTCAGCTACTGGGTCTGCGTACTGGGGGTGGGAGGTGGGTCATCCTGGGGCCGAGGGTGGCCCAGAGGTCCATCCGGCTGCACGTTGGAGGCGATGGGAAGGCAGGGTTGCCCCAGGCTCCCTGGGGGGCTCACCTTGGCCAGGCTGGCAGTGAAGAGCACGCACTCAAAGAGCTCGCCCATCCGCTGCAGGAACTCATCCACGTGAGGCCGCTTCAGCACGTAGACCTGGGGGGTGGGCCAGTGAGGGGACTGCTGGCCCACAGGCCCGGTGGGGTGGGGTGGGGGTGGCTGAGGGCTGGCAGAGCGTGGGTGGAGAGGGCAGAGGAGGACCGGAGAGGGGTTGGGCCTGCAGGCTCCGCTTGGCCCACTGCCCCAACCGCTGTTGGGGAAGCCACCCACCCTCCCAGGAGAGGATCAAAAGGAACTTCCAACTCCACTGGCTTCAGATCCCACCTCATGGGCAGTCACTAATCCCCAGTCCCTTACCCCTCAGACTCAGCCAAGTGCAGGATCCTGGGGGCAGCCCCTCACCCCAAGGTTGCAGGGCACCGGTCCCCGAGCCAAGTAATGGAGAACAGGCTGGACAGCACACAACCTATCCTGAATTACTTGAACTGGGTCCCGGGCAGAGTGGGGCAAGAGGGCATGGCATGGGGTCCCAGAGGAGGGACCCATTCTCTGTGGGCCTGGAGCTGTGCCAAGTCCCTGAGGTTCTTTGTGACCCTGAGTAAGTCTCACACCTTCTCCAGGCCTCTAACATCCCACATCAACCAAATTCCCATCTGGGGCTCTCCGCATTGGTGGGAAGAGCCTGGGGTCTGGAAGGCAGATGCCAAGCCCGCCACCACCTCCTCCTGCCCCTCACCTGGTGGACCACCCCATCAATCTCCACAGGGATGATGAAGTCAGCGTTGTTCACTGGCTGTGGGGGGAAAAGAGCCGCTGGAGCTGGAGCGGTGAGCCCCCAGGGGCAGGGCCCAGCAGGACCTCCCTCCCAGGTCTGGGCAGGCCCCTCTTAGACCCAGGCGGAGGGCTGCTGGGTAGGGCCCACCTTAAAGGAGCTGTGCACCAGGGTCTCATCAAGGTCAATGACCACGCAGATCTTGTCTGAGTCCTGGGCCTTGGCCTCCGGGAGCAGGTACTGGACCGGGCTCTGCTGCAGGGAAGGACAGAACCCAGTCACATCTCCTACCCAGCTGTTCCTCCCCCAGGCCCCTACCCAAGGAGCCACTGGAACAGTGGGGAGACACCACCCTCTTCCCAGCTTTG